AAAATGCAATATTTTAAACATTCTGTCATGTAGAGGGATTAACATTCCAAAAATGACGGGGTTTTTCTGTCTTTGTGGATAAATTTAGACAGCTAATTTTTTCAGTAGTTGGCTAGGAGAAAGCACTCCCTTCCTCCTCTGGTTTCTGCTCAAAACTAGGCTTTCCCCCCCCCCCCCCCCCCCCTTATGAAATATTATTTTATGTGAAAGATGCTCTAAAAAAGCAGAAACAGTATAAAAAAGGAAGGATCAAATATCGTTTTACAAGGAGAGAAAGAATCTTTAAAAAAATATTTATCCCACACTTGGCAACCTTTTGCTTGCCCGCATGTGACTGGCATGGTGCCATCCTTGGCAGAGGCCAGTGCCTCAGCTTGCCAGAAGTCTTCGTCTTCTGGCTGCATTTTCACTCTCTGTGACTGATTGTTTATTCACCTGATTTTTCTGTTTCAGCATTGCTGAAGTCATGGCGTCTTGGAGATGATAAGAACACTTTGTCTGTCCAAACTGTACAATAGCCATGATGTCAATGCAGAGTGTTTGCAGTGAGCTCCAGCTTTGTGTGAACTCCAAATAGCAGGGAGGTATTAGATGTCAGACAAACTTACTACCACGTCCTTAGCGCGAGGCTGTCCAAAAGGGAACTGCCGTAAACACAGAGAGATGATTTGTTTCTTGCTTTTTTTGGAGACTTGTGTTTTGAGGATTTCCCAACCTTGCTTTGTGTTTGCTATTTTGGTTTAGCATCTTGGGGATTTTAATTGAGAATAATGAATCTCTGAGTCACATTCTTTTGGAGCTCCTCTTGTTTGCATGATCTTTGCATTTAGTTTTGAAGTACCTCCTTTCTGTATGTCAGGTCTGAATGTGATTCACTCAGTAAGTTGGCATCTTGGAATGAAATATTCAGCCTTCTTTGCAACTGGTCATAGTATCTTAATAGTATTTGGAAAATCTCCTGAGTTTGGCTGACAAGGAAAACTTCTCATTTGAAGAAATCAGAAGGTGAGGCATGGATGGTCAAAGAAACTACTGTTGTTGGGTTTGCTCCAATAATAGTGTTTTGTGGCTACTGGTACTCTGGTAATGTTCATCTCTGAAGATCTGGTGATTATTCAGTACTTCCACTCCCTGAATGTAAACAGACACTCTGGTCTAGTCAAGCCTCCATCATCTCTTTAATAAAGTCATGAAGCTGCTTAAGGGTCTGCCCTTCCCCAGGTCTTGCTTTGACTTCCTTCTTCCATGGCTGCCCTCCAAGGTCTCTGAAATTTTCCATTATCTTGGTAGTTCCACGTGATGACAATTAAGCATTTTTTGCCCTTGTGCTTGTCAGCAAGGATTTGTTCCGGGTTTGGGGGCTTTTTGTATATAATCATTAGCCTTCATGATCCATGGCACTGTTGTACCTGGCTGATAAATTCTGTCCCCAAATGTCAGGCCACTATTTGCTTAAGTTTGTTTCATGTTCTTGAGGACTAAAGTCAACAAGTTACTGAGTGTATTTCAGGTTTTTGGTTTTTGCTTTTGATTTTTTTTTTTTTTTTTTTTTTTTTGCAGAAGTGTTTTGGAACCTGCATTTTAAATGTTTTGATACAAATCTAGGAGCCCAAGTAGCACACTTTGGGAGGGCAGAGGGGAGGATAGATGGGGCTGGATTGTAAGGCCAGCCAATGTTGTTCAGTAAGATTTTTATAACAGGGATATCTGAGGGAACTGACATGTAAGGCAGATAAGACTTTTTGTTGTTCATAATATATCTTGCACGCACACAGAAGTTCTTGTTCTTCCTCTTCAAAGAAACAGGATACCCGTATTGTCTGCAGGCAGAAAACTATGCCAACGTTAGCAAGAACAAGCAAAAAAATAGGACTGAAAGAAAAGCAAGGTTGCTGAGCTTTTAAAAAATTATCTTTAAAAAGTTTTCAGGAGTTCTTGCTAAAATGGTTATGATTAAAATATTACTGTAGTTTGAAAACCTTTTTCACTGATTGCCTTTTTCATGTGAACTTGTACATCCTTCTGTGCTTCAATTTACATTTCTGTAGACGACAGTCAGCAGATTTACCAGGAGATGCAGGGAATCCTATTTATATAGCAGACTATTCATGAACGGCAGAGGCATTAAGGGAATACAAAAGTCTTTCCCAAGAATCAGATAAACTCAACCTTATTCTACTGTATTTATCTGAATACTTAATGTAGCAGCATTTGTTTTTTAGCAAAGTGTCTAGATGAAAGCAAAAAAAATCATGTAGTTGATCAATACGTTTAGTAATAAGCTGTGTGGAGGCATGGGGTGGTGGTGGTTTTTTTCCTTAGTAGGGCTTTGAACTGGAAATGTAGCTGCCGCACTAAATCTGAGTTCTGGCACCCACTCAGAACAGCAGTCCATCTGCTAGCAAGGCACACTGATTTTTATATATATATGTGTGTGTGTGTGTGTGTGTGTGTGTATATTTATTTATTTATTTATTTATTCCTTAGTAGTCACAAATGCAAGTGGCACTGTATTACCTTAAGGGGAGAGACAATTTGTGATGCCTTATTAAGGTGACATTTGGGCAGACTTTACTCTCTTATATAGGTGCAAGTTACACTCAAAAAAAGAATATACACCTTCATGATTGTGTATTTTTGCGTAAGGGTTGGTATGTATGTTTTTTTTCCTTTCTGGAAAAAAGAAATCTAGCATCTTTATATAATGCATTATTTAGCAGTGATTTCCTCTGTATTCCTGCTCTCTGTAGTCTTACATGTAACTGGCTCTGCAAAAATGTTCTTAATTTGGCCTGCATGTGATATATCTGCTACCTGGGCAGGCATTGGCCATCTTCATGCTCCTCTCTCCTTGTTCTCATAGTCTCCACCCTTCACCCCCCTTCTGCTTTCCTGCCTGGTTTCACTCTTTAAAAATGAGCATGCAGGTACGGAGCAATGCTGTTGGGTTATAATAGCAGTATGTGCAAGGAAAGGATTGTAGGGTGAAGTAATGTTTCTTTTCTAATTGGAAAAGGCAGATGGGCTCCTGGGCAACTTCAGCAGTACCTTCTCGCGCAGTAGACCTGTGCAGTCAATTCAGTGTACCATATCTTTAATGCAAGCTTGTGTTAGTGGTACCTGGCTACATTACATACAAATAATAGCACTGTCAGATACTGTAAGCAGGTCTGCTCATGGTACTTCATAGCTGCCTGCTAATAGAGGGGAGGTACTGTTAAGACAGTCAGGTTACTTGGGGAATACGTGTGCAAAATAATTTCTTCCACAAAATCTTTCCTAGCCTTAATTGTATAAGGAGAACCCAGCTTTGTACCCAGATGCTTGAACTTGCAAAGTTGGAAGTTAGGGCTTAAAAAAAAACAAACCAAACCAAAAAAACCCAAGTGAATAAAATTAAACAAGATCAATATAGAACCATTTGGTGAGAAATGCAAAATTCTCTGGCGGTGGTTTTACAACTCCTTTTCAGGGTGGATGCTACCTTAAAGCTGGCAAAAAATGGTTTCTTGTAATCAAAACTTGACATAGAATGTCTAGATCCTGATGCAGAGGAATGATTAGGGTTTTCTGGGTTTCTTTTTGGGGGGGGTGGGTTGTTTGATTTTTTTTTTTTTTTTTTTTTTTTTTTTTGGTTTGTTTTTCAAATTATTGCTTAATAGCACAGTCATGCTTTTGGTCCTGTGTCATAATTGTGTTGCTCTGCTCAATAGCATTGTAAAAACATACTAGAAAGCCTAGACCTCATTATGGGCAGAGGAGGGGATTGAGATTTTAGTGTGTTTAGTCTTGCATTAAAGCAACACTGTAGTTGCAAGCCGAAAGATAAATTACTACGCAGAACTTCTGTGGAACTGTTACGGTTTCATAAACATTGTCTTTGTGTACAGGCTGGGCTCTGCTGCTTCTGTGTTCATTTTGGGATATTAACTTCTTCACTGGTTATATGCTTGTTGCTTAGATCGTTCAGTTTAAATGTCTTGTGGTGCTTTGCTTGGATCTCTCTGCAGTTGTACTACTGAAATTTTGTTTTATGCTGTTATTATTGGTACTGTGTTTTAGCTAAGTTAGAAAGTGGAAAACAGTTACTTAATGCAAACCAGATTTCCTATCTGTGTTTGTTTACAGAGCCCCTGGCACACAACTCGCATGGCTAAAAGGCCATACAACGCTGTAATCAAAATGTTGTTGTTACATAAATATAATGCTGCCACTTCTTTTGATGTAATAGTGGTGAGCTTGTCTGCTGATGATTCTGCTCTTTGTTCATGTCTTCCAAGCTGAAATACTTCCATGTGAAACGAATGTCTCCATAAATTTGCACCCCACTTTTTTCTCCCTTTCATATTTTGTTCTCTGAACCCAGAGTTTGGGACAAAGCAGAATTCTGTCACGCTCTTCAGGGGAAAATAGTAGCTTCATCATTCCACAGTATTTGATGTCTACCATCTGTACTTTATTAAACCTCATTTTGCATACATAAGCAACATTGGGATGCTACACTGGGGTCAACCTAACCATGTGTGCTACAGTATAGCAGTGCTTTATTGTACAAGTGTAATTAAGTTGTTAAAAGGAAGCTTGTTTTCTTGCCAGTAAAAGACCAATTGAAGTACAAATAGGAAAGACAAGAAATGCTTAGAAAGGCAGTAGGTCAGCACTCAAGAAAACCCACCCCAAAAACATAATACTAGGGCTGTGGAATAGGTTCCTTGCCTGTTTCCATTATCGTTTTGTTGATCTTGCTTTCAGCAGTTTTCCTTATTATTTAATTGGTTCATGTTATAAATTTGATCTGAGAAGAAGATATTTTCAGGCAACTAAAACTGAGAAAAACAGAATTTAATTTGTCAGTTTAACAGGAATTAGTTCTTTTGCAGAGATACACTAGAGCCCAGGGAACGGGAGAAGAGAGTTGTATGGATCAGAGTTTTTTTCTTTAATGCCATTTACTTTCTTTGATAGCTTTTGTTCATGCTACCTTGTGTTCTGTCTTGCAGTGTGCCCCAGCTCATGTGGCAAGCGAGCCTGTACAGACCAAAATGAGTGTTGCCATCCTGAATGCTTGGGGAGCTGCACGGCGCCTGACAACAACACCGCCTGCGTGGCCTGCCGCAATTACTACTACGAAGGAGTCTGCATGCCCACTTGCCCTCCTAACACCTACAAGTTCGAGGGCTGGCGCTGCGTGACTAAAGAGTTTTGCTCCAAAGTCCCTGCGACTGAAACGAGTGAATATGAGAGGTTTGTGATTCACAATGATGAGTGCATGGCAGAATGCCCCTCCGGATTCATACGCAACGGGAGCCAAAGGTAATGCAGCTTCTGGGGAGTCTGTTGGAGTTGTCACGTTTGGGGTTTTCTACCACCTATTCTGTGGCAACTTGTGATGTAAGTTACGTTAGGTAGAAATGAGAACATACAATGGGGACTTGAGTGACTCTCTGGTAAAGGCTCACTTAAATGACTTCACCATTGAAAGGTCTGGTTGCGTGTGGTCTTGGGCATTGACAGTTGCCACCGATTCTTCTGAAGGTCTTGAGGAAGTCAGTACAATGCAGAACCAGGTCTTCAAGTAGAATTTAACAAAATGAAAGTGAAAGCCAAGGAACACAAGGTTGCAGGTTGGCTGATGACCATTACCACACAGAACAAACTGTAGGAGTTAGTTTGTTTCACATATTATTTGTTTTATTCGTGCTTGCCTTCTAGGCAGGTATATTTTTTAGTGTATTTCATTTTATTTCCCTTTTTTCACTGATTCCAGAAGGATAACAGTGGTGTTATAGCAGGGAGCAATCATGTAGATGGTGACAAAAAATAATGCAGCAGCTGACAATACTACATAGAGTAATTTATTGCAAGAATGTCACTCACCTGCTCTTCTTTATTTCTAACAGTTGGAGTGATGCGTGCTTACGATTTTCTTATTTTGCCAGTGGTTTAAGCAAGCAGCCTTGGTTGTCTGCTGACCCTTGGAGTTGTAGATTTTTGAGTAAAGGATATAGTCAGTGTGCTAAAATTCGTAGTGCTTCAGTACTGTGCTTCAGTACTATGCTTAAAAAGATGTCTTTGCAGGCTGTTCTGAGATGTTGGGGTTTTTTGAAAGGTGCTTGTGATGATACCTGCACCAGTTGTGTGTCTGTGCATGCACGTGTGTCATCCATCCATTTGATCAAATAGTGAGGCAGTCTCTGGTTGTCATTTGGATGTAAGCAACTTAACACTGTCTTTGCTCAAATCCAAATATTCACCAAATATTTTGTTATCTACTTGAGCTTGTAGTACCTGCTGTTTGAACTGCTTACACTGAAGTGCATGGCCACCCTATCTTATCTCAATGTTGTTCTCTGCTGCAAAGATTGAAAGGAGCTGTAACTCAAGGCTAGTGAATGTTTCGTTCCCCAGAGGTGGTGTTAACAAACAGTTGCAAATGGAAAGCATTTCCAGCATTCTTTATACATTTAGCTGAATGCCTCTTGCTTGCGTCTGCAGCTTTTAGTGGTTTGTGGCATGCTGTAGCTCAGGATTTTGAAATAGGTGCTTACTACTAAGAAAAGGAAGCATCTTTATTTTATTCTTTATACATTAAAAACTGTTGTTATCAATTTACATGTTTCTTTAAGCCTCAAAAGAAAGTGGGTTCAGTTTCTTTTAAAAAGAATAAATAGTAAGTATGTTCATCAGTGTTGTCATCAAAAGCCTTTGTCTGTTGAACTGGGTTTTGTTTTTTCTTTTTAATTTTTCCCTTCTAAGGCATTATGGTGAAGTAAGTAAAAATGAAATATGAAGGAAAGTGCTAGAATAAATTGAAAAATAAAAATGAGCTCGAATTGGGAAAGAGCTTTACCAGGAGGAGTGATGAGAGGGCATGTTTTGTGCACACATAAAGTGTTCAATTTTGAGATGAGTATGCAGACAGTAGAACATGGAGCCTCTAAAAAGCTGCTGTAGCCAAAGGCTAGGCTGGCCTGTGTTCTTGTGCCCTGAATTGGGCCACTTAAAACTGCTTATGAAAGCTTGTGAGTAAAAGAAGCAGGGGAAGGGAGCCTGTGTTTCAGTGTTTCCTCCCAGCTGCTGGCAATCCCATTTCTCTGAGTTTGGGGCTGTATCTGTCTTGGTGTTTCAGTCACTGGTGGACCTGTTCTCTCTCCATTTGTGTAATCCATTTTGAACCTGCTCAGACTTCTGGCCAGTCTCTCACAATTCCTGTTGGAAATTAGTCTTGCCTTGCTTCAAGTTGCATCCTTTTGTTTGTTTAAATTTGCTGCTTTAATATCTCTTAAGCAATAAGAAATAGTGATTAATGCAGTACTTACTTTCTCCACATCACTCATGGCCGTATGCTCTCACAGTTGTCTTTCCCTAGTTAAAACAGCCAGGAGCATGGAATTCCCTAGTGCTGAACTTCAAATGTTGGTTTAAGGGCACGGAGACAGACAACTTTATAAGAACTTGAATGCTATTTTCCCATCTCCAGTTTCTGGCTGGCCTATTTTTGGAGGTTGGGCCTGGATTAGCACAAAGCGTCACAGCACTCTGAGGCTGTCTGCATAAATGAGAAGGGTGATCTTTCTGAGTATAATTAAGTTAGAATAAATGCACAAATGCAAGGACATTGGGTTTTACCTGAAGTGCCTTCAGCTTTGGAAGGATCACAAAGCCTTTCAGAAGCTGGCAGACGGTGGGTGTGGGCCCATTCATTTGCTCTTGTGTTGCTGTAAGTGGAGGTACGATGCTCCAGGTTCTCTGGAGTCCATTGGGCAAGTGTGCTGAGTTATCTGCAGCCCTCTGCAGAAGTATGGTAACATTCATTCTAGCTTGAAGGATTTGTCTAAGCTTTAGAGGGAAATGTCTTTCAAAACTGAACTCAAAGCAGTCCATAGACTCAGAGTTTTGTATCATTGCTTTTTTTCACTCTCCCTTTCTTTCCTAACAGTATGTTCTGCAGTCCTTGTGAGGGGCCTTGCCCGAAAATTTGTGAGGATGGGAAAACGAAGACCATTGACTCTGTCACGTCAGCACAAATGTTGCAGGGATGCACAATTCTAAAGGGAAATCTGCTGATCAACATCCGTCGTGGAAGTAAGTGATTGCCCTCTCTTTATGAACCTCTGATAAGGCTGCTTTTAATATTTCTCCTTTTGTCTGTCAGCATAATAAGAACATTAAAACCTCAGCAAACTCTTTGCTTTCCAGTCCCATACCAGTACTGCTGTCTGATTTGGCCCTCTGTAGCACCGCGCTCCAACATGCAGATGGAATAGGTATTCAGCTACCAAGTTGTAAGGCAGGAAAGCTGGTATTTTTGTTAGCCTTTTTTTGGCAGGACAGGGAACTAGGATTAGGCAGTGAGATGAGCAGTAGTCCCAAAGGAATAATAAAGGCCCGAGAAGGTGAAGTTGAAAATCCTTGCATCTGGGTAGGTAAATAACTTGTCTGCAAGTAAGGCATGGCACTGTAAGACTCCATATCCTCACTTTGTAAGGCAAGGTCTGGTGTCTTGCTAAAACATGGAATCCAGAGTGCTGAGAGCTCATTTAAAGCCTAGCACTGTGCCTTTGGATGGTCGTCATTAACGAGCTGGCCACCTTTGACACATGTCTTGAACAAGCTCTGGATTAAATTCGTCAGAGCAGTGATTCATCAGCTAGGGAAGTGTTGACAGTTGATGAGCTCTTAAAAGCAGAGTAAAAATCACTGTTAGTTTTTATTGGAAATATATCTCCCTATGGAAGGTCCCTTCTGGTTTCGTGAATAAGGCTGAAAGATAGAGATATGTTTGATTCCTTTCCTCCTGCAGAATGAAAACTTCAGGGTTTAGAAACAGCATGTGGATTAATTCACTTGTGGTCCCACTGCTACAGTTACAGTCTTCCCTTATGGGAGATGATCCAGTTACCTGGGGCAAGTGTGGAATTTTTTTTATTTTTTAAGTATTATCTTAAAATGCTGAAGAGCATCTGCTTCCTCACAGCTTATTTGGTGTGGGAACCAACCATTGTTATTGGGCTTCCCAGACATCTGTTAGGACTTCAGTGTGTGTGTGGCAGCAAACACACCCCGTAGCACCTTCTCCCATCCTGAGTGCTTAAAACCTTCCCCTCAAGACTGCAGTGTCTGCAGTGTAACCTCTCAGGATCATGACACCAGGCAGTGGGCATGGGCCAGGGATTGCTGGAGGTAAGGACTGCAAAGCTTGAGCCTCGTGAAGGATGGGGTGTTGCAGACCTAGGCAGGGACAGTACAGTTCCTAGGGAGGGGGTTAGTACTGAAGAGTAGAGCTTGCTCTGCAGTTGTTCTAGTAATTCAGTGTAGAAAATCACCTTTAGCGAGCCATATGGAACATGCTTCATGGCATGAGACATCCTTATGGTTTTGTGTTTGCTGTTTCATCAAAAGTTCTCAGTTTTTGTAGCCAAAGCTTTTTAGGTTACTGAAGCAATGCTTTATGCCCCAGAGAAGAGCTATAGCATACTTCCACCCCTTCTTCTTCAGGCTCGTTCTCTGTCTTCCAGTGGAGCTTTCTGCCTGAGCTTTGCTCCGTAGCCGAAGAGCAATTGCAGTCTCATGGATGTGTACATTTACACAAGGGTCTTTTCATCCATGCCAGAATGCCGGCTCAACATTTGGTGCTGGCTTCATGCACAGTGCAATATCCATGGAAAAAGAAGGTATACCAATATGGAAAAGCAAGACTGGTTTTCCACTGTTGCTCTGTGGCTTTATTTTGCTCTACAACCATCTGTCCGCACAGGCAACTGTTACTGGGGGAGGAATACCAGTGTGTCTCATTTTCAAAAGCAACAAATACAAATGTTTCCTTTTACTGAGCTAATACTGCATTAAACAGAATAGCAGTTAAAGCTATGAATTCTGCAATGATAAAATGAAATTTTTCTTACTGTAGATAACATTGCCTCAGAACTGGAGAATTTTATGGGTCTGATTGAGACAGTAACAGGGTATGTGAAGATTCGCCATTCCCATGCATTAGTCTCCCTGTCTTTCTTGAAGAACCTGCGGTATATTCTGGGAGAAGAACAGGTGGACGGGTAAGTGTTCAGATATTTGTAGATGCAATTTAGCTTTAGTAGAAAGCCACAGAGAACAAGTCTCCTAATAACCACTCACGTACCATTTATAGAACTTTCTCTTCCACTAATATGCAGCATTTTTTTCCTGATTAGCACCACTGCACAGTCATTCCTCATTTGGATTACTGTCCAAATCAGCATATTAAATTGAGTATATTAAAAGTATTTTTGTGGTAACTTTGCTGTTGCTTTTCATTTTAGGTTTTTTTAGGGAGATTCTTCACATAGATAAAGTGTCATCATTTGTTCTTTTTGCTCTGTTTGAGAAAACAGTGTCTTCAGAAACAATTGGATATCCTTGCAATTCTTTACTGTGGCGTTTTAGCAGAGTTTTATGGAGAATGTCAGCTGAAAGGAATCCTGAACTTTACTAACCAGGGAGTGCAACTGGAAGTGACCCAAGTAGTATGAAATAGATTGCAAGTTGCAATTGTTTGCAGCTCCTTGAAATGCTAACATTAAATGAATTATCTATTGAGCAGGAAGAAGACTGGTCAGGAAATGTAGTTGATCCCTTGAAATGTTTGCTGTGGGTTATTACATGTGTGATACATTTTGCTGTATTTTGCTCCTCTTTTCCTATGGTGGTAAGGGATAGTTGAGAAAAAGTTTTTTATCTCCACAGAACTTGCAGTGCTGAGGTGTGGTGGTGGTTCTTCAGTAAACTGCCTTCCTCTTTCTCTTCCTGAATCAAGTAGTTGTCCCAGCTTTAAACCAGTGTTCTCTGGGATAAATAAGTCTCCCTCAGTAATGATAGAACTATTAAATGAAGAATTTTGGGCAGTCATATAAGAAAAGGTGGTGGGAGGGTCATGGGAAAGGTTGCTTATGTCTGATTTATCTGCCCCAACAGGATAAAGTTACAGCATGAAGGAGTCCTCACAACCTCCCTCTTTCTCTCAGGCTAGTCTTTGGTCAGCCTTAAATTCTTAAAATTCCACCATCTGACAGAGTGAGTTAAAGGGCAGCTCTTCATCCTGCACTTTAAAAGCACGCTGTCTTTTTCAGTAAGAACACAGGCTCTATGGAAAAGCTTGTTTGTAATTGCAAATCTTAGAGGCTTGTCACTTTGCTGAGCACAAGGCTCATTCAGCCCACTTACGATGTGGCGTGCTCTCACAGATACTCCAATTATTGATTTGTCTTTTCTTCTCTTCCCCTCTCTCCCTTGCTTTCTTAAAATTTGAGTTTAGCTTTGTGTTTCAAGTAGTAATTATGTTTGTGGTACTTTGTATGTCAGCAAGCAGAGCTGATATGAAGGGAATCCCAAATAGAGAAGTAAATAGGTACAGCTTTGAAGAGGAAAACAGGACTGAGGGAGGTAACATAGATCTATAGTAAAGAGCTACTTGTGCTAAAATTCACCCGTGCTAGGATATTACTGCGGTTACATACTACGGGTCAGAGGCAGTCTCTTTGCTTGGAAAACGCCTAGCATAATTTAGATATTACCACAGTCTAAGTAACATTGCCAAAAATACTTAGATAGAAGTAGGCACCTGGCAAGGAAGGACTGAGCTTGAAGAATTACTTTGGCAAGATTAGGAACAACAGGGAGTGGGGTCTTAACCTGGGAAGTACTGGGCTGTTGGAACAATAGCTGTTTATGCCAGAGTTGCCTTGTGGGATGAGAGAAAGGTTAACTGAAGATCTGTTATGATAGTTGTTCATTACATGACTGACCCCACTACCACTGTCTGTTTTGTTGTTTGGTTTGGGGTTTGTTTTTTTGTGTTAAACTGGACTAACAAAACTACTTCAGTATTTCTTTCTTCCTTATTCAGTTGCTGGTGCCTGCCTTTCTTATCACAGAAAATTGAAAGTTTAGAGGGATTTTATTTCATTTTCAGCTTATTCCATGCCTCTTGAACGTCATGTCTGTAGTGAACATGCTCCCATGGCAAGAAAAACATTTCTCTTTGTAAACAGGGAAATTGAAATGGAGATGTGCTGGAGGTGTCTTGGTGTCTGTTGCAGAATTTCGATTCCTAGTCTGGCATTCGCTCTGCCAGGCCCCTCTGTCCTCTGCTGGGGTGCTGTGTGTTTGTTGCTGTCATCAGCTGCAGCTGCCGTGTTGGTGGACGGCATGTGGGCAGCACTTCTGAAAGCATCTCCAGGTTGGGTACCTGGAAAATGAGCAATTTGTGGCCTTCGCAAGCAAGTGAGGAGATGGTGACTGAGGAAGAGTTCCTGTCGTGACACTCACCAGCTGCTGATGTTATGTTTCAACTTCTGCAGCAAACTGGGAACAGTCTCTATAAAAGCAAAACCACCCCCCCCGTTTTCTACATGGTTTTGAAGCAGAGGCATGAGTATCTGTCAGGCTTGCTGGAAGGTGTGAACAGGATTTCTAGCTCTTGTATGGCTCCTCACTGAAGACTTTACGGTTTGTTTTCCTGGGATCATTATTGTCAGATTATGGTGAATTGAAACAGTCAACACGATAGCAGCAAGGCTTGTTCTAGCCACAGCAGTTCCACAAAGCAGTCACCCTGTGTGTGAGTGTATTTTAGGAATGAATGACATCCTCCGGGATGGCAGTAAACATGGGTGGTGAGCGTGTCTGCAGTGGCAGGCTCCCATGGGGGAATGCTCATCAGCTTTGTTTTTGTCTAAGAGGAGTTGGTAAAGGCACTGGTTCTCAGCCATCCATGTATAAGTGAAGTTTCAAAAAGTGAGTTGAGGGGTTTGTACACTGAGGTGTGAGGCTGTGTTTGTGTGGAGGTTTAAGAAACTCATCAGTTTTTTTGAACTGGACAAGAAAACACTGAACTTTAGAAGTAATGCACCTTACTAATACTAAAGCCATGGATTAGTGTAAAAGCCCTTAGTTTTCTACCCATGTATTTGCCCATGGAGTTGCAATTCTTGGCCAAAATTGGCTGTTTCTAAGTTGCTTACAATTTACATTAGCGAGGTGTAAGTATCTGTTCAGTGGTTATGTGGTGGGCAAACATAAGCAAAAGAAGATACCAGCATTATTAAAACATTAGTAATGCTTTGGAAATTTTATAAAGTTCAGGCTTGAAGAGAAATGCAGAAGAATGAACCTATTGAAAGAGAGACCATCAATGGAGCGTTTTGTTCAAGTATTGTCCTCCGTATTGTTCTCTGATGTGGTGTTGTGCTATATGTTTGACTCTGTTGTCAGGTCCTCATTTAGGGATCAGGGTCACACTGTGATACAGGTGTAGAATGTATACCATGTTAATAGGCAGTATCTAGACAGCATGTGGTATGTTTTGGGTATGTAAAGCAATAACAGCTTTCTTTTTTTTCCTATTTCTTACTGGTTGGTATCCCAGCTATCTGGTCTAGTGGGATTTTCTGTCTGTCTTGTCATTGTAGCACTGAGAGATGAACATCTTTGGTTTTGTATGTCCTGCAGAGTTATACATCTTGTCCCAGGGTAGTCAATCTGCTATAAACCTATGATGCCTGGTCATCTTCAGTAGCCAGTTCATTCACTGCTCTCATTCACAGTCCTCTGCCAGTTCTAATTCCCTTTCTGGTGCAAGTCACTTGCCTTTATGGATCATGCATTGCTGTCTTGTTAACAGCACTTATCTGGTCATTATCCCTTTCAGGAGCTTTTTGTGTCCTGTATGCTATGAAGGGGACTAAAGGGTGATTGAAAGCTTGTTGAAACGTTTTCATCACCTGCATCTCCTTTTGGTTTGGATCTCATGTTCTGCCTCAGCTTTTACATGGGTGAATATGCACAGATGTAGCATTGCATGCAGATACAGTGTGAAGCAGGTTTTTAATGCATGTAGTCAATAATTAAATGTCTGTGGGTGCTCTGCAGTTGGGGATATACATAATGTTGTGGGAATTCTCTCCTGTGGGTGTGTATGGGTTATGCAGGTTGCCTTGAGGGTTTTCATGGCAAGCTTGGGACCACATGTGCCTCCTACTCCTGTTCAGAGGTTCAGCCTGTCCTTCAGGCCATAATCTCCAGTCATTCCCTTAGTTACTGTCTCCAGGGTTTGATTGGCAGTGCTTTGTTTTCCTACAGTGAATCTTTTATTCTTTCCATGCTATCTTCCTTTGCATCCTGATTTTTTCTGCATCTATTAAAGCCAAAGTCTGATATAATCTTTATTTATAACTTTATTTATAACCTAAGCCCTAAGTGCACTCTGTCCCCTGCTCCACCTTTTGAGCCATGCAGTGTTGCACCTTCCCTGTGACTGAGACTGTATACAGCCCTCCAAATGTGGTTTCCCTGGTGCTTTGAATGGTGCTAGAATAACTTCCACTAATTTATACTTTCTGTATATGTGTGAACCCTTAGGACCCACATGTCTTGCCTCAGATGGCTGCTCAAACTTGTGCAGATGGCTTTAACGTATGAGCCACAGTAACTCCCAACCCTGGCCCTGTTGCTGTGCAGTTGTTTAAAGCACCAGTGCGTGCTTGATTTGCCTCATTTATTCACACTCTTGAAAGCTTAGCCACATTGCTTTAATACAAGAATTATCTCTAGTGTCTAAAGCATAATTACCACAGTTCTGAGCAGGAGACAGGCTAGGCTGCTATTAAATGTTTAAGATGGTTTTCTATAGTCGTGGAGTCACACCTCTGTTTATTGTGTTTAATCTGAGTCTGGCTTTTTGGGTCTTTCCTGAAAAGCTTAGTTGCCATCACTTAATTACGTGGCTAATTATCGTGAAGTGTCATATTTTCAGCAGTGCACAGGGAGCTGCAGGGATTTTAGTCATCTGTAACGGAGTAATAGGTGTCTCAAATAAACAGCTTTGGTGATGTCTGTCAAATCCGACATGCAGTTTAGCGTCTTTGTTCTCTCCTGGCAAGATGCATTTAAAACACAAACATTTTTGTGCTCCCGTGTCATCTGAGCACTTTCTTCTCAGCATCCATCTGAAGTGGTGGTACCAGATATATTGACTTCATTAGTAGTCAAGTCCTGGATAACTAAGGGACAGTTGGAAATAGGAGAAACCACTTCTCTTTCACATTGGTCTGAAAATACACTCAGCATTTTGGTATGTTACAAGAAACCTCAACTGTCATCTGCACAGACTGCAATTAGAACACACAGTTTTCATTTCAGGTTGGGTGAGAGAGAAATTTATGCTAAATTTTAAATGAAGTAGTTGAGGGAAAACCATAAATGAGTACTATGTCAGCTTCTTATGAACCCCATGGTTTGTCTGCCATTTTACCCTGCAGAAACTCTGACTGTAGTTAAAAGGATTTGTAGAAGGCCTAGTTCTACGGTGACGTGAGCTTACCATTGCAAAATGGCTTGCAGAAGTTGCAAGGCTTCATTGTGTTAATAAAGATTTATATTGATATAGTTAATGTTGGTGGGACTTTTGACAGAAGTATGATAAATGCTGCCATGATGGGTTGGTTTGATTTAGGTTCATCACCTGCGCAGACCTTTAACTCATTTCCCAATTGTGTGTTCCTGTCCCTACTGTCCCAAAATGTGTCTTCACAGGTGTTGTCTTGCTGCTGATACCGAGTCTATAATACTGCTTCTGCTGCACGTTGGATTTTTTTTCCAATTCAGCACAATCTAGTGGTACTGGGAGCATACAGAATAGGATTTACACACATAACTTTGCATTTAGTATCTGTGGAAATAAAAGCTGTTCATGTTAGGCCGCTGCTGTGCTTAGGGAATGGGCTCAGCACATGCTGTTGCCTGTGGTGTTAGTTCTGTACTTTGACGTGTGGGTCCTGTGCTGTGCAGTCAGTGCAACTGCTTACTGTCAGGTTTTGATGTATAGGTGCAACTGTACTTGGCACAATGTAGGAAATCTTTATTGGGCCAAGAGGGTAAACTAAGAGAGGCAAGGAAACCTCACTAAGCAAACTCCTATAGTTGCTTTCGTAAACATAGGCAAGACAGCTGTGTTCATGACTGTATTTTATTGTCAGATATGCACCATGCTTTTCCTTCCATAAGCTATGTAAAGTTATTGCTTCCCATTTGCCACAAAATTAAAATTCCAGTGTAGAGACTTGCTGTTCAGAGGACATGAATTTATATTCCTTGTAGCAGCTTCTCTACAATGATCAAAACACATGTGGGAGTGGGCTTTACCTGGTGTGGTGTCAGCCTTGGAGTCCTGTGTTACAGTCATTTACTTGCTCTCAGACCAGGGTGAGCATTCAGGGAAAACTAGTTCCATGGGAGAGAAGAAAATCCTTTACTCTGCTGAACACTGATTTAAAGTAATAAGAGGAAACAGAGTGTTTTAAAGTTTTCTTATATTAAGGTATTCTGGGCTGGAATTGGCTATGAATTAAAACTAATATTTTTCCTTTAAAAATTTCCTTCTAGGAATTACTCCTTCTACGTGCTTGACAACCACAATCTTCAGCAGCTGTGGGACTGGAACCATCATAACTTGACTATCAAGGAGGGGAAAATGTACTTTGCATTTAATCCTAAACTGTGTGTTTCTGAGATTTACCGTATGGAGGAAGTTTCAGGAACCAAGGGGCGACAGAGCAAAGGAGATATAAATCCAAGGAACAATGGGGAGAGAGCCTCTTGTAAGTAAACAAACAAACAAATCTCAAGGCAAACTGCATAGGAGGGTGTCACGAAAAGAAACCCAACCCAACACGATGCCACATTGCTGTCCGTTTTAATATTTATAGTTTAGAAATTACAGTAGGCTTTCAGTCATTCTGCTTGTTCAGTTTTTTAAATGTAGCTGTGAAAGTATGTATGTGTGGAAAATTACGTGGTTACATAGTCACAGTCTCATCTGTAAAAACCATTTGATGAAGATGACTGCTTCCAAACACCCTTTTTTTGTGACAGTAGCATCAGGAAACAATAGAAGCATACCTGGGAAATGAGAAATATAATCTCATAGTTTGATATATCCAACAAGGATCAATTTCTTACATTCCTTACCTATAATGATGTACATTTGCTGTTTTCCTCTCTTGGATATCTACTCTTCCTTGGTACTAAGGAGGCTGCTGAGTAACAATTCCATAGACACCAAAACAAACTGTTTCTGTTATGTTGAAGGTCCTTTTCAGCTCCTGCCAAATGTTGTAACTTGTTGCTAGAAATGCTTGTTCTAAACTAAGTTTTCTCTGCTTTATTTTCAAATTATTTGCTTTTGCATTGAGAACACTTCTTAATGTTCTACAATGTTCCTAAACTTCAGTGTATCTGCATTTAATTTTGGATTCTACAATCGTCAGAATTATGGGAAAGTCCTCTTTTGGCTTTGGTGGTCTGCACATCAGGTCTCAAGGTGTAACCAACAGATTTGAAAGCAATCTCTCATCTAGGAATTAAGATGACAGAATGTCTACAAATTTGACCTCATACCCAAACTCTTAGAACTGAAAATGCCTTTTTTTTTTTTTTTTTTCCCCTTCGGTTTATTTGTGGTATTCTTGGAGCTGAGTAAATTAAAATGGATCTTGTGTATCAGTTAAGTCCCCTTGTTCTGGATGGTATTTACAAAACTAGGACACGTACTCACTGAATGTCTTTTTAGGCGTGATGCATAAATGCAGATGGCATAGATCCTTGTTGTAAGCACACTCCATTCTTTGCACATTCAATAGAGCAAAGGCTTGCAGTCCTGGAGGAGTTACAGACACACAGCCAGTCCTTACTACCACCGAGACTAGTGCCAGCCGCTGCCTGTTTTTTAAAAAAACATTACAGAAAGCTTTCTGACTCTGAGAAGGGGAAAAGAATCAACAAAAGCTAACTGCCTTTGAGAAGATAGCACCAATAGTGCCAGTGTACATGAGGGTGAAAACCCCTTTATTTTCAGAGACTTCTGTGGAACATTAGAAACTAACTCACAGTTGACACTTAGAACACGATTTCTTCATCCAAGAATTAAGTTTTTAAAATGCTATTTTGTTTTGGATTGGAAAGATCAGTGAGTTGGTAGTGGGAAGCCATTAATTTCAAAGCTGCCGGCTTCCATCCAGCTCTGTTCAGAAGAGTAGCTGGAAGCTGCTGCCATCAAATGGTTGTGCCGTATATGAACTGAGTTTTGGAGTTCTTGGTCCAACCTCTCATGAATAGGAATATAAAATCTATTGTCCTTTCCATGTTGTCCATTTCTCAGAAAAACAAATTGTAGTTGTCAAAAGTTGTCCTGGAAAGTGAGAACACAGAGGCCAGTTACTGTTCTGTGCATGCATTGGAGTTGGATGATGAATTTAGTGCTTCTAGGCCAGTTCTCTGAATAAACAAGACTTCCATTCCTCACTCAGGAAGAGTCTGAAGTAGATTTCAAGAGCTTTATGATGATGCATTAAAAGAAAATCTGTTTCAGAAAAAACAATAACAAGTAGATCCAGCAATTTCTAAAATGATTGCCAAGGTTACTGCTTACCCTTAAGCACTTAAATGTAGTAGGATGAAATATGAAGCTCTACAGAGACAAAGGCTGTTGGTGTACTGTGTTACCATAGGCGCTGCTGGAAAGGCTAATCAACTAAAACTGATACCGAAGAAATGGCAAAAAATAATAGGAGATGTGATGCTAACTCTGTCACGTCCTGTCCTTTTGCATTGCAGGTGAAAGCCACATTCTGCGTTTTGTTTCCAACACTACGCTCAAGAATCGGATTAAACTAACATGGGAACGGTATCGCCCTCCAGATTATAGAGATCTTATTAGCTTCACTGTTTACTACAAAGAAGCGTAAGTAGATGGCAAGAGACTATTTGGGGCAGTCCAAGAGACAGTAGACAACTCTGTTCTGACTGTTGGATATCTCATCCGGTTTACATATTTCATCCTCAAGTCCCACTTCTGTTCAAATTTTCTTTGTGGAGCACAAGCCCCCTTTAAAAAGAGGATTTTTGATTGAAACCTACTAATGGATTCCAAATCCATCAGGAAGTTTCAAATTTAGAAAAAAAAAAAAAAAGAAAAAGAGATGGATGGCTTGGCTGTTCTTGGGTATAATTTGGAGCTCTTTGTAGGTCATGTAATGTTCACTGAGATCTTTTACTTCTCCAGTCATAGTAGTGACTAGAGAGCATCACAAATCAGGGGTTTGCCCTATCACCTTGATGACTTGTATACTCAGGGTTGGGGTTATTTAGATTATCTGACTTTGGTAGTTTTCTGTATTAATATCTCTTGATAATGGAGTGGGGCAGTTACTGGAGAGATCCTGATTTCTTGGGGGGTGTCTCTGCCTTTGCACTTCCTTGTAGTGTCTCAGATTTTAAAATAGTAAAAAATACAAATGAGCATACTAGTAACTCTCCAAGCAGTTTGGAGATGTGAAAGGGAGGTTCAGAATACTGGTAATGACATGTGGAGCAAAACTGTGAGAGACAGAAGTACAAACTGTTAATGTTCAGCATCATTTGAAAAAGTATATCATGACGGTGTACACGTCTGTTGTGATGCAATAAACTTAGAGTTGATGAGTGTATAGTAATTAATAACAACAGTAGTACTTTATATGCACTTGCACCAGTGTTGCAACTTAGGAAAAGTAGGACCATATGACTATATAAGTGTGTTTGTGTTGTGTGGAAATAAAAAGGGAAAAAAAGCCTGTTGGACTGGTCAAGGCCAGTCATGGAAGTTTAAGTTCTTTATGGTAAAAAGCTCAGCCACTGTCAATAACTGTTTTGAGTTGCTTCTGTTTCATATGTTTAGCTAAAGCCTAAATATGTCTGAAGCATTTCACTGTATTTTGGGTAAAAAAAGGTAAATGTAGTATTTTGGAGAACTTTGCCTTATTGCTAGTGGCTGAAGGTAAGACCTGCAGTTAAAGCTGAACTCTGAATTTTGTAGTACTTGGAAATAAGTACGAATTTTATTCTCTTTTATTCTTCTATGGAAAATGAGTAAGCTTTATTTGCTTCATTGAACAACATTGAAGTGAGGCACTCTCATAAATATATGACAATTTTTAGAAGAAAATATTTGTTCTGTACGATTTTTTTTCTTTTAATATTTCAGACCATTCAAAAATGTGACAGAGTATGATGGACAAGATGCATGTGGCTCTAATAGCTGGAACATGGTCGACGTTGACCTGCCACCAAACAAAGAGAACAATCCTGGAATTCTACTGCAGGGATTGAAACCTTGGACTCAATATGCCATTTATGTCAAGGCTGTTACCCTCACAATGATGGAAAACCATCATATTCATGGAGCAAAAAGTGAAATTGTATATATACGAACCAATGCTGCAGGTGAGATCCTGGGCTCTTCAGTAAGAGGTTGATAATGCTACGTGTGTGCCTTTTATATTATTATGCAAGTTCTGTTGTTAATGCAGAAACTGAATTTAGGTGCAGGTGACGTGCATAATGCTAGAAAGTTTCAGTAGTTATGGAAGCAGCATTAAGATTTTAATTTAAACTCTGTGGTTTTTCAAACATTATTTTCACTGGGAAATACAGGAGTTTGTTGGAGTTTGTATTTCAGACTTTGTTCCATTGGTGAAGGTAAACTTAAGTACAACTTCAGATTGGGACTGTACGTGGTTGCAGTTGAACCTGTAATAGCCGTTGTTATTGAGGTTTAAGTAGGAAATCTTTCCTTTGAAATAGGTTGGTGTTTTTTCTTGCAGTATAGAAATGGATTGGGGTTCACTTCAAAAGCTTGAACTGAAAGACATTGTCGAATGCTCTAGATTTAAATACCTTAATTTTTTCACTTTTTCCCCTCCAGTGCCATCCATTCCCTTGGATGTTATTTCAGCATCCAACTCCTCGTCCCAACTGATTGTGAAATGGAATCCTCCCTCTCTTCCCAATGGCAACCTCTCATACTACATCGTACGGTGGCAGCAGCAACCTCAGGACAGTTACCTTTACAGACACAATTACTGCTCCAAAGGTAGGAAAGCAAAACTTGGTTGTGTTGAAATGCCTGAGATTCCTACCTGCCAGTATGCTTTATTGATGAGCTAAAGCCTGTGCTCTGCTTCACAACTCCTTTGTCAATAACAGCAAGTATAAGGGAATGGATAAACTTGTACTGTTGCTCTATTCATAACATGGAGAGAAAAGAAACAAGCTGCTTCCGTTCTTTTCTTTTAAGATAAAGTCCCAATTCGAAGATATGCTGATGGGACCATTGATACAGAGGAAGCTACTGAACCCACTAAACCAGAGGGCTGTGGGGGAGAAAAAGGACCTTGTTGTGCGTGTCCCAAGACAGAGGCAGAAAAGCAAGCGGAGAAGGAGGAAGCAGAGTACCGGAAAGTCTTTGAGAACTTTCTTCACAACTCCATCTTTGTCCCCAGGTAATGGATTTTGGACACTTCCTCTTTGCAAGTGGGGCTAACAATTTCATTTTTTAATATTTCCTAGAGCTAAGGCTTCCTGGACATGAAAGCATATGTAGATAACACCTAAACCACATAAATGTTGTATTTCTTTTATGTGAGACCATCCACAGCCTTAATTTACAGTTCCTCTTATTCACTAATTTTCATTTTTTTCTCTCAATTTTAGCTAATAGTAATGGTTCTTACATATATTGTTCAAGAACTTTAGTGATGGTTTCTTTTCAGAGTCAAGAGTTGCTTGAGGAGCTCTTCGTCTGTAATGGTTTCAAAGATGAGCAACATGTGGCAGACAAAGGGTTTCAGAGGTGATCTTTCTCTAAATAGCCATTTAAGTGCTAGTGTTCCTAATCTGAAGATTTATTTTCCTTTGAAATTGAGGACGTAGTCACCTTGCAGAATTGAAACTGGTCTTCCTTTCTCACTGCACTAATTGCAAAGGCATATTGGTTTTCTGGGTCTGTGTAGCAGAGGAGTATTAAATATGCCCAGTCTTCCATGATAAACACTACCTCTTACACATTAAGTGGAATAGTAATGATTTTGTGTTGCAACACAGAGTAGATACTACTGAATTAATTAGTGATTTTGATCCTTGATTTTCCAATTTATCCTTCATATATGGTGTGCTTTAGATAATTGGATCCTGGAGCCTACTACAAAGTGTATAACTGTTACGTTACAGTCTATAAGCAATTGGATTTCAATCGTACCTGTTGTCTCATTGTCTCTGTTGGCAGGTGGAATTTATGGTGAGGTCCTGTGTTTGAGACCTCTAAAGTGTGGTGTTGCTGCTCATTAAAATTTGTTTATATCGCTCTCCATTGTGATTTTTTGGACCTTTATTCAAGGATATGTTGGATTGACTTGTTTGGCTTTGGGACGGTGATATGTGCAGAGCTTTTCAGCTTTATCCAAAAAATGAGGAACTAAATACTGCCTCTCTTTGGAAGTGATAAGTATTGTATCGGAGTAGTGTTTGAGTCACATTTAGCATTTGTGGTTGAACTTGGGCAGTGTTTCCTACTGAAGTTGAGAACCAGCAGCAAAGCTGAGGAACAGAGAAGTAGCAGCCACCGCAACTGGCCAGCCTGTAATTCCTGAGCAATGTGGAAATCCTGTAAATGTGATCTGATTTTGAGCTTTATGAAATAGCACAGCAATGAGTTTTGAAAGGCATGTGTCAGGTCTATACTACTTGAAAGTCTGTTGCAAAGGAAATTTTTTTTTTTGCCAGAGCTTTTTCATTTAAAATGTGTTACCCTCTCCCATATTTTCTTGCATTCCCTCGCTCCCAAAGGAAACTCTTAAAACCTTGAACTCAGACAGTAACAGATAAACTGACCAGTCCACAAAGGATTTCCTGAAAGCTTGTTCGTTTCCCTTTTTTCTTAACTTTCTGTCATGAGGGTGTGTTTTGTAGCAGTAAGGGCAGATAAGGTACAATGCTCAGAAATAGCTGCATAGCTAAGCAACTTTAAAGAGGCAGTATGTCAGGGAAAATAAAGATTTTGAGCTAGTGAGATGTCTCCATGGGACAAATCTAAGCAGCTTGTTACTTGCTCATGTCTGGTTTGTTTGTTTGTTTTTTTTCCTTTTTCCCAGGAAGAAGTTAATTAATGTACTAATGCAAGCCTCAGTAGTAGTATTTCTTTCTGGTGTTCTACCTGTCTCCAGGATGTTACAAAAGAGATGCAGCATGTAATATAGTGAGAAAATGTTTGACTGGGTAGTTTTAAGGTTTTTTAAAAAGCTTGTTGATCTCATCTTGTGTGCAACTTCTGGGTAACCCCATGTGTATTACTGCAGTGGTGAGGTAGATTTCAAACATTAGGACTCTGGTTAGTCTTGAAAAGACACTCACAACCACAGGAGGGTAAGCTACTCTTTGAGTTTTTAGTGTCTCTAATGAGCAGGATGAGATGGGCTCAGTGTATAGTTGTGTAGTAGTCTCAGTAGAAGGCGTCTGAGAAGTAACATTAAAATTGCCAAAAAGTATGAGAACAGTTAGCTTAGATGTTAAATGACCACTTTTGTTCTCTTCTTTTAAATTTAATTTTGATTTAATTTTTATAGTGTTATTTTTCATTTTTTCTCTTGCATTTCTCTTCCTTCCTCTCCTTTAATGGAATAGATTAATTTTCATGTTTTTATCTCTAGACTTTTCCTTATTTCCTTGGATGTTTGTTTTTTGTCTTTACGTCTGCCTTTCACAAAAAACAGGAAGCTGCTTGACCAAAAAGCAATGGTGTCAAATCTCTTGATGTTTTAATCATGTTTGCCTTGTGGTTATCCTGCAAGTCTTTTTGTCTTCCTGGCATGGCTGTAGTTTTCACCAAAAAGTTTTGTGTTGCTTTATCTTTTTCCCCAAAGGCAAGGTAGGACTGTATTCCCCACACCCCAATACCACCAGAGTTGAAACTTCATGCATCCCATAAAAGCAGTGATAGATAAAATCATGCTTTTTGGGTTCTTACATTGGCACATGCTTTTGTGATTGACTGAAAATGAACTTTTTATTTTCCACTGCTTTTATCACAAAAACTGTGTGAATATTCATCAGTTCAGTGCTAGGCATCCCCTGTGCTTTTAGCGGTTCAAAAGTTTGTTCTTTCCACTGAGTTAAAGCAGTAAATGAATACTCATCCTAGGCAAGGCAAATAGGTTTAGTAACTTCCACAAATACCAGTGTAGAGGAGGTGCAAATGCTTACATCTTCTGTGAAATTCCCCCATAACCCACTGACAAGTTAAGACATTCACTTGTATGTTGCTTAAAACAATTTCTTGGTAACTTTGGAAGTTTTTTGCCTTGTCTTCATTTATTTTGGTGCTGTGGTTTACATGGCATCTGAGAGTGTCAAAACGACTACTCAAGACATAGTAAAAGGATTTTGGAAAATTTTGTAGTGAACTCCTAAAAAAAAAAAATTTAATCCAACCTCTGCCAGAAGATTTCAAAACCAAGTCAGCCTGTTTTTGGCTCTCTCTGCAGCATGCTGTTTTGTGGCTGAATGTACTAAGACGATATATTTGACAGTGAATTAACTTCTGTTGAGTCATCTTTCTTCCTGCTTGTGTGTGTGAGGGAGGCCTTATTTGCCTGGTTTACTTGCTCTCTGATAGAAATTGTGAAGGCTGCACCTTTGTCCTTGATAACCCTTGCACTGACCAGGTGCTAAATGGGCACTGGCTATGTGATTTCAGGTGAGATAGGATGCAAGCCAGTTGTTGTAGTGTGGCTCTTCTGACATTCTTCTTTAGCTCCTCTGGTGCATTGCTTTCCAGGTGTGAGCAGTCCTGCAGGCTTGAGAGCCTAGGAGAGCAGGAGCTGGCAAAGCCAGCTTGCCTTGTGGTGTTAGCAAGTGCTGCTGTGCAAAACAGCTTTGAGTCTGGCACAAGACCAAGTGACAAGCCTAATTTGTAGCAATGTTGTGCTGGTTAGCTAATATCATCCAAATGTTCAGAAGAGTGTTTTCATATCGATGCTTGTACTGATACTCAGGCTTGTCCACTACAATGGTTTCTTAGACTTGAGAAGGTAGTGGTGTTGCTGTAAATTCTCAGGTTTTTAACTCTGCATGATTTTCATACTGATGCCTGTAAGGCAAAGCAAAGTTGCTCCGTGAACTCTTTGCTATACACAATATTAGTACTGTGTTTTTCTCATTTAGGAGATTTTTCCTTTGGAGAGCTTCTGTTGGGGTGGGAGTAGAGATACACAAATTACCACACAGTAGTGGTGGTTGACATTCATGATCTTCAGCTACCTTCCAGGGTTTCTTTTCTCAGTTCAATACATTCAAACTTCTGTAATTTTATTGCAGCTGAAAAGAAAGTTAAGCCTAATGAGAGTGAGCTCTGCTAATCTAGCAAACTTCCAAACACTTTTTCCCCCTGACCTTTTCAGCTTTTAACATCTGATTTTTATTTTAAGCATCAACATTACTATCATTACATACAAATCTAGGATGCTTATTGAGTAACAGTGAAGCCATTTTTGCTATTCAGTGTGAGGTCAGAAGTCTGCATGTTTATCTTGGGGCTCAGTGTGAGCTTCAGAGTTTTGATTGGTTTCTGACCAAAAGAGAGAGTAATAGGATGTGCTGATATGCTGCAGTTTCAGATTAAGAGAAAGCTTTTGTTTTGTTTTGTGGTTTCCTTTATTTAACATTTTTAATAGCACAGTTGCCTGTTTTACTGTTTGGTTTTTTTTTTGTGTGTGTGGTTTTTTTTTGTTTGTTTTTTGTTTTTTGTTTTTTTTTACGGTGTTTCTGGAGCTGGAGAAAAAGTGTATTTTGTCTAAGAGACCTTTTCTGTACCTGCCCATTTGCTCCACAGACCCGATCGGAAACGGAGAGATGTGTTCCGAATTGCAAATGCCACTTTGGCCACTCGAAACAGGAATGTGACTGGGACAGATCACTTCACCAATGTTTCTGACACAGAGGAGAATGAGGTGGAATACCCGTTCTTTGAGACCAAAGTGGATGGCAAGGAGAGAACTGTGATCTCCCATCTCCAGCCTTTTACTCTTTACCGCATTGATATTCACAGCTGCAACCATGAAGCTGACACACTCGGTTGTAGTGCTTCCAACTTTGTCTTTGCAAGAACCATGCCTTCAGGTATGCTCTCACAAGTATATAGCTTTGTTTTACTTCCTGGGAAGAGATCAATCTCGAGGCAGAGAAAGTCTCCAAAATCAGTTAGAAAAACATTGGCATATAATAAAAAAATTCTGTGCAAGAAAATAAATTGGAACTATATTAAATTTTGTTACAGTGGTTTTATGTTCTCGACTGGTCTTTTGTGTGTACTGAGTGATATGTATTGAGTCTGTCCTGTGATCTGGAGGAAGGTAGAAAAGTGTGTGCATTGACTACTGAGATAATTATGAGAGAATTCATTTCCCAGTGATATAGGTGAGACCCACAGACATGGTGGGTTGAAAGGTTTTATTCTTCACTAGCCTGTACGCTGAATGGAGACAGGAGCGTTTCTCTGCTAATGTTTAGTTTTGCTGTGTTCATTCTGAACTGTTTGCAGATGTTAGAATTTTGCTGGTGGGAATGTTTGCCAAATGTTTCTTCTGTCACAGAATGACCATGCATTTGTCCAGCCTGGAAACAGGAGGAGTACTGTGTTGCTTTGTGCCCAATTGCCGGCATCTAGAGTACTTCAAATAGGAAGCATTGAATGTTGTACTCATGTGTGGGACTTTTACAGATTGTACTTCTTCTGAGAAGAATAGAGATGATTTTAGTGTAAGTTCAGATGCATCCAGCAAAGAGCTTCTAACTCCAGCAGATGTCTGGGAATATTTGATGCAGAATGGTAGCAATTTTGTTTTGTTTCTGGAAGGAAAGACTATCACAATCCAGATCCAGCTGTGTCAGTAAAAAAGCAAAAAGTATTGCTTATTTCAAGGAAATAAGGAAATCTGTGAGATCAGGGAAAAGGAAATAAGTGTTCCCAGATTTTTAGCACATGGGTCTGAAAATTAAAAGGCTAAACAATTCTGTTTTCTTCTAAACCTAGCAACTGTATTTTTGAAAAAGTTGTCTTTTTTTCTTGGATTTAAATGTTTTTCATACTCCTGTTAGATTTTGAATAAAACACGGAAAATTATTGGGAATGAAATAGGGATAAAGCAGTATCTGAATTGCTGATGAGACTCGGTTTTAAACTGCGAGATTTCCTAAGACTGGATGTTTTAGGAGAGGGATGTCAGTGGGGCATCTTGTGTGTTTACAGCCATCTGCAGACAGGTTGCTGTTTTACAGCCATGTGGTAGGAATAGCTGTCTGCACTGTTTTGGTGTAGTGGAAAGTTGGGAAGGAAGAACCAGGTGCTGATAAGCGGATTTTTTGGCACACAGACCACGGTGACTAACACAGAGCCCATACCTGGTGAAGCGGTATACACTGCACTGTTTTTTTGGCAACCAGCAGTTCAGAATCTGCTCATCTCTCTAACAGGCCCCTGGCCGATGCATTTTGTTCTCTGGATCTCTGAATAGCACTTACTGCAATGGTTTGGTACCTAAAGAAATAATATGAACATTTTATTTTTCTCAATTGTTGCATAAGTTCCTGTTTCAGTAATAGGTGTTCTTCTCACATCACTTGTAAATATTTTACAGAGGGAGCAGATAACATTCCAGGAACGGTAGCATGGGAAGCAAAAGAAGAAAATACTGTATACCTGAAGTGGTTAGAACCTGCAAATCCAAATGGGCTGATACTAATGTATGAAATCAAATATGGGCAGCATGGAGAGGTGAGGATTAGACATTTCTCTATCAAGAGTTACTGCTTGTAACTCTAATTTATACGCAAAATGGGATCTTTCTTAACGTGCTTCTGTGCAGTGCTGCAGACCAAAGATAGAAATTGTCATTTCAAACACCCAGCACCAACCAGCATGCCATTCCTTTCTTTCGTTTATTTTGACAGTTTTTTGAATTCCACATATCTCCTTAAGGTATTTGAAGAAAAACTGATTAGATGGGGCTTTTAGTTATAAAAATTAGCTTATTCTGCAGCTGTATTGTTTTCTCAGTAATAATGGAATGTGGAGGTATTAAAGTGAACTGTAAATTGCTTTTTTCTTTTAGGAGAAGCGGGAATGTGTTTCCAGACAGGAATACAAGAAGCTTGGAGGAGCTAAACTCACTCATCTGAACCCTGGAAACTATTCTGCTAGAGTTCAGGCCACTTCATTAGCTGGAAATGGGTCATGGACTGAGCCAGTCTCTTTCTATGTGCAGCCCAAATGTAAGACAAATGTTTGTTGGCTGCATGAAACTGGGAACTATTGTCTTTTTAATAACTCCTGATGTTTATGTATGTAGCTGGGCATATGAGACATGTGCCTGTTGCTTTTGGGAGCTCTCTGTTGTGTTTTTGGCAAGTGTTGACAACCAGGAGGTGTATCTGAGATGTGGTCCTTTTCTTGTATGCATGTATATATGAGAGGTGCAACCAGGTGGTGAGTGTGTAGAACACACTACTGTGGCTTCCTTTGATGTACAACTATGTTGGGAATGCAACGTTAGCTGTAACAACATGGAGTTGGATTGTACAAAACCTGTGGCAGTAAGGCAAACCTGCTTTAAATTGCAAAATCATACAAGACAGAAATAATTTATTTAGATTTTTGGCTGGCAGGATTTTTTTAAATATCAAGATGCTTTTTCATATGACTGGTTCTGAGTGACATTTGATAAAGATAACATCTTGATGAAAGGGTGATGCTTGTCCTGACATTAGGAGTAATTTGTATTTTGGAATAAAACCTCTGTAGTGTCCCAAGACCCTCTCAATAACTGCTCTATTTAGTTGTAAAGCAGATGTATCCACAGAAAACTGGAACTCCATCTTTTATTCCTTTTTGGTTTTGTAATGTGTGGACTTTGAAGAACTTGAAGTTAAGAGCAGTGTATGTACATTCTGAATATAAATATAAGCAAATGCAAGGTGAACAAAAGGTGGAAAAAAGGGAAATATGCAAGTGAACAATTACATATTGTTCACTGAGGAATGCAGGTCCTTCCTTTGTGAAAACAAACCCCAGACAGACATTGTTATGTACAAAATTAATGCTTTTCACTGTCTGTTTTCTTGTTCCACTCATCTGCAGTCAGGAATTGTTTCTGAGTACATTTTTCCACATCAGACAAGAAAATGAGTACTTTGATTTTCTTCCCTGTATGGAAATATACTGAGTGGGTTTTGAATGTTTCTTTGTTAATGGAGATTTTATAGAAACCCTGATACAGTTGTTTTCTTGTTGGTTGCAGCAGCAAACTATGGAAACTTCCTGCACTTGATAATTGTGCTCCCTATTGCTTTCCTGCTCATCATTGGAGGATTACTGATAATGCTGTACGTCTTTAACAAAAAGAGGTGAGTTGTATATGCTTGTGGTTAAAAATGCAGGAAGGGAGTGTTTATTTTCAAATCTGTGCCCGTGGAGTAAATTAGAAATTAAAAAGGGAAATGGCATTCAGAGGACTTCAGAAACTAAAGTAGATTCTGACTTGTTGATGTGTAAAAGGAGGTGGTTTAGAGTTACCAGCAAGCATCTGGCTGCTGCTTGAGATATGAAGAGGCTTTTTATTACAGTATCATATTTGGGAGGGAAGAGGAAGGCTTGTCAGGAACATACCCACTGGGACGTTGATGGCAGACACTGCATCTATATAACCAGAAGATTTGACTGAAATACAGGTCAATATAAATCATGAAGACTTACTTCGATTTAGGTTAATTTGCTTTCTTGCAAATTCTAGAGGTTTTTTTGAAGTCTTTACATCCACTTACAAAGTTACATCCTGGACAGAGCAATCTAGGGGACTGTTCTATTAATTTGTTTTCCTCAGTTTTGTTTTTTGTAACTAGTGATTTTTAAAATTGATTTATTTACTTGAAATACGTAATGAAAACTTAATAGAAGTCAGTGCAAATGTTCAGCCTTGCAGCTTTCTAGGTATGGGGTTTTTTTATTACACTCATAAATTATGCTCATTGAGTATCCCATTATTTCCATCTCTAATTCATTTGTGTGCAGACAGTAGTGCCAGTTCTCCTCAAGCACTCCAGAAAGGGCTTTGTAGCTAGTGAAGTACAATACCTGCTTGGGCTTCCCTTGGGCTCTCCTAGGTGAAATGCCTGATAACTCATCCTTCTTTAAACTGTTCTAGCCCACAGGAATGTTTTGTCTTTGATTTTCTGAGGCCTGATTGTTAATTTTATTTCTACAGCCTGCCTCCTGCAAGAGTTCTCACAGTGCTGAATAATTAGGTCTTCTGAAAATCACCCCAGTAAAATGGGGGCAGTATGGATGGGGTGTGTGTGTATTTTTAAAATAATAAACACTTATAAAATAGTTGAATGGAATTCCCCATTAAAAATAATCTTGTCCTTTGCTAAATCACTTCTCTCCCACAGTAGATGATGTTAAAGTATGTTCTCAGCCACAGGTCTCCTGGGTGTATCACCATACAGCTGCCTTTCTTAAAGGAAGTTTACCCAGCAGCTGACAGTACCTTGTGTTTAAGCTTTTCTGGTGCTGATTTGGTGTAGAGAAGACTGCAGGTTTCCTGGGAAAGCTATTCTGTCCTGTTTTCCCATTGATTATGTGAAGTAAAATAAGAACGTGGTTTGTCCCCTCTGTCTGAAAAGCTCTCCACATGCTGTAAATAATATTCTGTGGTTGAGCAAACAGTGGAAAAGCTGTAGAAGAGGTGGTCTGAAATTTACTTGCATTTAAAGATTAAAAAAGAAAAAAAAAATCTTTCAACAGGAACAGTGACAGACTGGGCAATGGAGTACTTTATGCTTCTGTGAACCCCGAGTACTTCAGTGCTTCAGACGGTAAGTGTGGCCTTACACTTCTGAAGCTTTTACTTTCATAGATTCTGTTTGTGTCTGACTTTGAAAGGTATGAAACTCTAAAAAGGATGTTGCAAACCCACTTTGTCTCTTTGTTTTATTAGCACAGCCATGGAATCCATCACTGATAATATGTAAATGCCACCCGTCTACTGAAACTGGGGAGTTCTTGAAATTTTTTCTGTAGTTTATTTAGCAGAGGCAAATTCGGATGCATTAGTTTCACTTTCAGATTATCATCTACTCATCATCTACAGTCATGTTTTCACTGAAATTAAGGAAGTATTAATGAATTCATTGTCTTTCATGTTTTCCCTTTTAAGCCCTGTTCTGGCCTATCGGAACAAATCCACTGCTTGTTTCTATGTACTTCTCACATGGAATATAGTATTGTTTTTTGTAAGTGTTACTGTATCCTCTCTTCCTATCCCAGTAAAACTCCTCAACAACTTTTCACAGTTAGAGCAAGAGAAAAGCAATATTGTGAGCTTCCAGATGTATCACATGCAGAAATTTTGTGTTAAAATGAGCACGGATGTTAAATGTAATCCATATTTGTTTCTCTTAATATCTGGGGTGTGGATAAGCCCGTTTTTCCCTACTTGGAACAGTTTTTTTAAAGCTAGTTTCGAACTGACTGAATGCATTTGTTACTGATGTATATGTTTGGTAATGACAATATTTAGAGGTATTAGACTGTGTCAGTGTTTAGATCCCAGCTGGTATATTTGTGTTGAGTGCTCTGCTAACACTGTGAAATAATTGTAGCTCTGAAGTCATATGTCGGGTTTTGGGGGACATCTTTAATTTCTTAAAATTTTTTCTGGGAGACACAATGTGGATAATGCTTAAGTGTTTAAAACTATGCAGGAAGTAGAAATTCTTTAAAACAAAATTGCTGTTCCTAGAAAACAGCATGGATTTTTTGGTTTTGTTTTCTATACGTCTGTATTATTTTTCAGTAGTTCAGTATCACAGGAGGTTGTGCCTGCTAATGGTGTAGATGAACTTCTTGGCAGTTCTTGTGTTGGCTGTCCCTGAGCAGCAGCAGGAGCTGAATGAGCCTGGCAGTCCAGGGATCCTCAGCTCTGCAGAAGGCCCATGTGCTGTGGTTGCTCTGGAATGGAGAACCTTGGAAATTCAGTTTTCTGACTAAATGAATTGCTTTAAAAAAACAATAAAATATGAAAAGCAACTATGTTCCTACTGGAACCCTACTTGCTAGATAATTAATTTATTTCACACGCACACATAGAGGTGTGGTTGTCTGTAATGAACATGTGCCCATGCTGTATGGATTATGTATGTGTGGAGCTCTTGAAGTGCAGGAGGAAATCAGAACATCAGATGAATTTCCTTGAGGCATCAGTTCTTCTGTTTATGGTTTAGTTTGGTGCTACTGCTGTATATTACATGCCACAATAGTGTTTCCAAAAGCCCCCAGGAGGGTAACGGGTTTAGCCAGAGTGGCAGAGAACTATTTCTGTAATTTTTTTATAGCAGCACCATTAAGACTAAAGGTCTGTCAGTGCTTATGCTATAATCCTCTATTTTTGCATCCTGTCATTTCACCCATCCAGAGCATGTGACACAACTTGTCCCCTCCTTTGGTGACTGATAGGCAGCAGCACCAGTGACTACTCAGATGTCTTCTTGCCCGAGGCAGTCCTCCCTCCTGGCAGTCACCTTGAGATCTCTCTCCTGCCTCAGATCAAAGGTTTGCAGCAGCAGCAGCAAGCTCTGCCTTAACTGGTGCAACAGTGTGTGTGCAAGTGATCAGAATAGTTTCATGCAAGGAGCCTACTAGATCAGAGAGTCTGTTTCTCTCTAGTCATAAAATCAATCTGTTAGTAGAGAATACAGCAGACACTAAACTGATTCAGATGATTAAGTATGTTTGATGCTGTCTGGAAGAATTAGAAAACCAAGGATCCCAGGAAAAGCTCAAGCCTAAATTATTGATTCAAGCCTCTTCCCCCCCTGGTTTTGTGCTTTGAGTTTCCTTATTTCTATCCCGTTATGTCAGTACCATAGTGAGGCCACTTCAAGTTGATGTACACATTTCTTTAGGATTTATTTGGATGCCAAGCATCTACCTGTCTCTATATGAGAAAGACCATGGACTATTTGCATACATCCTGCAAGGTCTCAGTGTTGTCTGGTGTTTTTTACATTAAAACTGTTTGGGCAGTTGGTATCATAAAGCGATGAGTGGTCACACCACTTGCAGAAGAGGAACATCATGGCCTGTTCTTTCTCTCCTTAGTGTATGTTCCAGATGAATGGGAGGTGCCCCGTGAGAAGATCACAATGTGTCGGGAGCTTGGGCAAGGCTCCTTTGGAATGGTGTACGAGGGGATAGCCAAGGGAGTGGTGAAGGATGAACCGGAGACCAGGGTGGCCATCAAGACTGTCAACGAGTCTGCAAGCATGCGTGAGAGGATAGAGTTTTTAAATGAGGCCTCGGTGATGAAGGAGTTCAATTGTCACCATGTGGTAAGTCATGAAAATGTATCAAGGCTGTGATTCGTACAGCCATGGGTCTTATTGGCATGAGGGTGTTCAGGGCATGTCTTCACTGACTGAAGTGGGAACTTACTGCTTCAACTCTGTGCAGCTTTATAATGTTATTGTGAAATAGGAGTCAGAGAGTCGGAACCAAATCTCCTTTAAGACCTTTCCCACAGGTTCATGGGTGTTTGGGGCTACATATCAACATGATTGCTGTAGTTCAGTTACCTGTATTTGTAACTGAATGGTTTTTTTTTGTCTTCAGGTTCGGCTGCTTGGTGTTGTTTCTCAGGGCCAGCCTACTCTGGTTATCATGGAGCTGATGACACGTGGGGACCTCAAAAGTTACCTGAGATCACTGAGACCAGACACAGAGGTGAGTCATAAGTTGCTGGACATTTTTTCATTTCTTCAGTTAGAATCATCTTGAAAGAAACAACAACACATCAGAAGCCGCAGGCAATTAGCCTTTCTTGCTCTTCTTCTTAAGCTGTAAGAGCAAAACATGAGCTGTTTTGTGATCTGCAACACCTTCTTTCATGAGGTAGCTATTGCAAATAGCCCAGTGTACTGCATGGAATAGTTCCCTTCTTGTGCTACTGAGTCCTGTTTTCCAGATTTGAATTAAATCTCTCATCTGATCTAATTTCTTATCAAGATGTTAAAATATTGGCTAGTTGAAGCATGCATGTTAGGATGCTTGTTTCATGTTATATATCCTGCCTGTTGCCTCTGTTGGAAAATAAAAATCTCTTTGCTAATATGCATCTCTAATATGTAGACCATCAGTCTAACAGCTAAAATTGCCACATCAGATACAGGATCTGAAGATTAAAGATAACACATAGGTCACTTGCCACTGAAATCAGTTGACTATGTAGAAAGTGAGCTCAGCAGTTTTTGCCCTTGATCTGGAAATTCTGATGTGAATAACTGAAAGGAACAAAGCACGAGCACAGTATATGCACAAGAGAATGAATGTGGTATAAATGGATGGCATTGTATGTAGCAAGACCGGCTTGCTTAAGTGATTGGATACCGAAAGCAGTCATACTGAATACAGCATTCAGAAAATACCAGTAGGGCTGTGGACTTAAAGGCATGGCTGGCATTTCTGATTAATAACGTTTCAGGTTATATTAAATAGTTTTGGTCAAATTCAACAAACTTCATAAAAAGACACAATGACATTGTATAGAAATTACCAAAATTAAGTGCTCCGTACTTGGCTTTTCTGTCTTGTATGCTGGTGCTCCCCAGAGCAGTCAGGGATAGGCCTGTGCCTAAATTCCCTGTCTTCCTTGATGCGCAATGTAGAATTGAGTGAAGTCTTCTGAGGGAGGAGCTGTATGAGGAAGAAGGCAGGATACTTCAATAAGGTGTGGATGGAGGGCTTGCCAGATCGTTGGCTTTACCCACAGTTTATCCATGTAGCTCCCATACCTATCCCTTCCCCCTGGGGATTCAACTCACATGGGTTTTTCTAGGCTTTCTTGGTTCTATCTCCTTGGCTCCCCTAGAGTATGTTGCATTCAGCTCTGGGGAGCCTGGGGGGTAGTGGGTGTGGCTCATTATCTCAACACAAAGTAGCACAGATTGAAAGGGATGATGGGACTGGGCATCAACACTTCCCATGGAAGGTGGGTAGGGGAACAATTAATCTCTGGATGGGGATGTGATAAAGTTCAGTGACTTGACCTATGTGCTTTAGGAACTCTGTCATTGGCAGAATTCAGTATTACGAGGCTGTGGTTTTGGTTAGTCTGTCAGTGATGATTATCCAAGTGGTGTAAAGCTTAGGTAAAGTCGTACTCATAAGTGGTGGTGGGACTTAATGGTTGTGTTTAAATACCTGGACTCCTTCACCTATGAGATGGAGAATGGCAGAAGCCATACAACCAAGGATGCCAAAGAGTGAATTTGCTTCAGAAGAAATTGTTTCATAAGCTTTTCTCCTATTTACAAATAGAAGCAATTCAAGAGACATCTGGTTATGGAGAACTGGGGAATAGGAAATGAAATAATTTAACATCTTCTGGTTGTTTGTGAAGATGGTAAAACAGTAGAAATCTCTAAAATAAGCCCTCTGCTTTGTACCTCAGAACTTGTGTGGCAGAAGGATGGACATTTAAACTCCATAGGTGTAAGATAACATCCTTATAGCAAAAAGTCTTTCTGGCTTGTTTTCTCCAAAACAGAATGGCCTGCTATAAAAGAGCTATTTGGGAATTCTGTTAGTAACCCAGCTTGGTATGGCTTGTTTTCCCACTAAGCAGATCCTATGGTGTACGTAATCATGAGTTCCTAAATAAAAATTTAAAAACCAGTATGTTACAGCTTGATATAGAAATAGTTACTTTTTTCTTTCTCCCTTACCTGTTTTATCTTCTTAATCTCGCTCAGAATAATCCTGGCCAGGCACCTCCAACTCTGAAGAAGATGATTCAGATGGCTGGAGAAATTGCTGATGGGATGGCATACCTCAACGCCAACAAATTTGTTCACAGAGACCTTGCTGCGAGAAACTGCATGGTGGCAGAAGACTTCACAGTGAAAATTGGAGGTGCGCTTTCTTGATTTTTACACGAATTAAAAACATCTTTCTTCTTAGAAAGCATTTTAATTTTTTGAAAGCTGTTTGAAAGACTTGTAAAACTTAGCTCTAGTTTAAATTTCTGCAGAATGAAATATGTTCCTTATGAAGGCTTGCTGTGATTTCAGACCTGTGAGCAGTCAACATTGAGTTGAAACTCTTGGAATACCTCTACTTGCCGTTGTTCTAGTGAGGAAATAGTATAGCATGTGGGTTTAAAAAGAGCTAGTGAAGCAGTGATTTGAGGTGCAGATGCTGCAGACATCTGGGTGGATGGCGTAGTTACCACTGGTGTGTCATTCGCTTTTCTGTTAATGCGCAGAAATAATTCCACCTCCTGTTTATTGATTTAAGAATAAGAATTTTAAGATTATTTTAAAGTGTATCTGATTTGGAAGTGGAATGTAAGGCTTGACTTCAGCTGGGTGCTTTCCAGTCTGAACTGGAGTTCTGCTTTCCAGACAACAGAATGGCTTTTCTCCTGCTCTGCTGTTAGAACACCACATTTTTTTTTCCTTTCACCATCCCTCCAAAGTAGTGTCAGATGAGTTTTTTCAGACTTCTCTCCAGAGAGAGTGATTTTAAGATTTTGGCTGTTTTTAAGTTGTGCATATTAAAGTAACATGTATAGCAACAGCCTTCTGCTGTAAGAAACTAATTCTTTTTCTCTGAGCTTAACTCAGCTATTTTGATAATTTGTGTAAGTAATCCTGTCATTTGGGAGAAAGAAAAAATGATTTCATTTTGAGTCAGTTAATTGGGAAATAAGATCTTTGGGGGATTTTGTGCATTTTCTGCAGGTTCGGAGAAAGTCTGACTGAATCCTTCCCATTCCAGTTTTTCTCACTCCTCCTCCCCTCACCAGCCTGTGTTACAATTCTTTGAACTGAAGATGGTCCATTTCTTCCCGTTAACATGGTACATGGTTACCCCAAAAAGCATTTTGTAAAATATGCTGCACTGCTCTCATTTGTGTACCAGTATTGAAAACCCCTTCATGTAGAAGCAGTTTAGGAGCATCTTGACTGGAAGACGCCAGCTCAGACTGTTTAGATCTCAGAGGAAGAGCTTTATGCTACACTAGCTTATGCTCGTTGCTATCTGTTTCTTATTTGCATTACATTTTTAAAGAATTTTCCATTCAACCAGGATAAAGTCACCCTGGTGTGTGGGAGTGATGGAATAGCTGCACAGATGGGCTTTTTAGTCATAATCACTGAGGGTACCCGTGTCCCTAGCAGATGAGGAATGAGAAGGATCAGTGGTTGGTCACTCATCCAAGCCTGGTAATAACGACATCCGTAGACTCGTAATAACAACTGTGAGAACTGGAGGAATTCTGTTCTCTTTTGCACTCCACTTTTCCCAGAAAAAAAGGGGCAACTACTGGTCTGTATTGATAAAATGGATTTTACCCTAGGTCTGCTGTGTTAGCAGACAGCATTTAATATTCGTAAGAGAGTTGATGCCACCTGATATATTAACTTTTTGGTTAGTGTCTGAAAACACAGTAACTGGTTTAAATAGGCTAATCTGAGTTCCAGCAGTTTTGCATGAGTCAAGCTGGTTGTACAGAAAAAATTTGTTGGAATAAGTCTGAGTTGCAGTCAGGAGATGAACATTATTAGACCCAAATCTTGCAAATGCTTATTTATTTACAGCTAAGAACATGCATGTAACCCAAAGTATGTCTTTAATATTGGTCTGTGTTAGGCACATGAATAACCTAATCATCTGTAGCAGAGATGGAATATTATACAGGAACTGGAAATTACCTTTGTAGAGAGGAAAAAAAACCCAAAAACCGAGACAAGAATTTCCATCAACACGTGAGATTCTTCAATTAAAGACAATAGTATTGAGTACTAAAGGAGTTCTTTACACTTCTTTAAACTAAAACCATTGAATTCAGAGAACAGATTAGTGAACTAGATGATCTTCAGAAGACTTAGCTTACTACAAAGCTTGCGCATTAACTCTGGAACTTTTCACGTTAATATATTTAAATGATTCAGACTTCTCACCCACTGAAGTCAGTGGTAAAAATGTTGGTTGGTTTTGTTGGGAGGGAAGCTAACCATCCTGAAGGCCTCAGGTAAAGGGCCTGCAAAATAGTGTCATGGTAACAGATTGTAGATTCTTTGCACCAAACTGTGATTCTCTGCTGGCTACAGTAGCTGGTAGTAAAGCGAAATGTTCATCTTTCTATCATGCAAACTCAAAACATTTATACCTTCTAGATTTTGGCATGACAAGAGATATCTACGAGACAGATTACTATCGTAAAGGAGGGAAAGGTTTGCTGCCTGTCCGCTGGATGTCCCCAGAATCACTGAAAGATGGAGTCTTCACAACGCACTCCGATGTCTGGTAACAAAAACGGGGCTCTGAAAAACTGGTTTAGCCCCTCTTTTTCTTCTCTCTTCTCTTGTTTTAGTAGACTTAAGAAAGTGTACTGCTTCTCCTCTGTCCTCAAAGGTAACTCTCTTTTTCCACTGTGAAGCATGTTGCTTTATATTTCATATTTCCAGTGCAAAATCAAGAACTCTTGAGGTTAAATTCTGTTCTCAGAGAGAGCAGAGCTAAATGGATTTCCAAAATTGGAGGTGGTGGCATGTTTCCTGCTGTGGGTTGTAAAATCAGTTGTGTGGTGAAAACCATTACCTTCACCTGGAAGAGCAAGTTGTCATTTTTCAAATTGCCCTCCTTCAAGAAAAGCATTAAAAGTTGCCAAGAATATAGAAAGGTTCATAGTGCTGACCTGCTTTTCTATGAAAACCTTCTGTGTAAATAACTCTACATTCCCGCAGATGGTTTGTGTACACTAGCAGGTTTTTTCTTGGGAGTCCTCCCTTGTGTATATCCTTCTCCATTTGGAGCTTTGTTTGCTTGTTTTATATACCACAAGATGCAGAAATAGTTTTTTCTTTAAAAGCACATTGCCTAGTTGCTGTATCTGTGAAGTTGTTAATAGAGGCATTCAGGAAATTTCAAAATATACCTCTTAGAAGAAATAATACTCTGGAACAATTCTTCCCCCACACCCTCCCCCCAGACTTTTGCAGATAGGTAGGGAGGACTTGGCAGAAGATGAACGTGTACTGGCAAAACCTTGATGTCTTTTATGGTTTCTCTGCCTTCCTAACAAGATGTTTTTACTGCTGATCTACTACAGAATTGGCAGTTGCTTGCCTCCAAATGTCTAGAAGTCAGTAGAAATGGTATTCTAGTAGTAAACTGCATTTTCCTTAAACAGCTTGAGGATTTTTGAGTCAGTGAACTGTAGTCCACAGCATCAGCTTTGAGTGGAAGGTTCATAAGAGGGTTTATGTAGCAAATGAAAAAGCAAAGCACTATAATGTTACTTCAGCTTTTTTTTTCATACGGCTAGTAACTTATTTATGAATCCAGTAACCCTCAAACTTGGAAATAGATTAAAATAAACACTTTGAGTTGAAGGGGAAGCCCTGTATCAGCCATTTGTCTGATGGAACAGCGCAGGCATGCTTTTGGCCGTCCCCCCTGCAGTAAAAGAATTTTGGGACTTGTAATGGCCTCATGAAGCAGACAGAAATTTGGAATATATCACTAGAAAATCCCCAGAACTGAATGAGCCTGGAGTGAAGAGCTGGCAGACCTGCCTGTTCTTACCACACAACAGTAACTTCTAAGTCCAGCCGTCATCTCCAGCTATTGTATCAGAAGTGGACTACAGTGGATCAGGTGTTCAGCTTTGGTGACATACTGCACTCGTTCCATACACACTTTTCTTTTATACTATAACTGTTAAGTGACATCATGGTTTAAACATAACTGAAATCTCAGACAAAAAACCCCCACAGATGTGATGCCAGATCAAGCATCAGAAGTAAAGTAGTGCTTTAGTTGTTGCAGGAAGTACGCGAGTTCTCCCTTCAGTGTTAACAAGCTTGGGCATGCTTTGGTCATTCAGTCCAAAGCAGGATTGAGCAAATAATAGTTTATTATCATGACAGTCTGAGCGAAATATCTTAGCCAAAAGTCACCTCCATGAAAGTAGCTTACTGATTATAGGGTTGGAAAACTTAAGAGCAGGAGGAGTAAAATCTTGACAGATTCCTTTTGCATTTGCCTCATGTATCCACAGCTATAGATTCAGAAATTTCAATCAGAATTCCAAATGTAGTGGAGCTTGACTTATCACTGTCATGACAAAGTGTCTATTTACTTGATCTGCTTATGGCTAAAAGGATCGTTGCTGTTTACTTCTCAATAACTTTTAGTCCAAACACCGTACATTGAAGGCTGCCTCATGCTGGGAAAATTACCTGACTCCTTGTATCGGTTCAGATTTTGAGGTTGCTTTATGTAAACTATGTAGCTTGGCTGTTTTGGGGGCCATTTATCTTCATCAAACGGTAAAAAATGTTGAGATTGCTTTCTCTGCCTCTTTGGTAGGATATTGTGACATCTGTTTCCATGTTCTTCGAGATGAGTTTTAGAAGCCAAAATGTCAAAAAGACAAAACTGTATGAGTGGTCAGAGTCCAAGATTTATAAGCTGAAGGGTGAAATGGCAAACTGCAAAAAGAGTGTCTGGAGGTTTTGAAGGGTGGAGCTTTATTTTAGCAATTCATTCTTTTATTGCTGTTCAGACTGAAGAATGAGGTAATTAGACAAGACTGTTTTTGCTGTAGTTAGGGAAGCACACTTTAAAATTAACGTAATACTGTTCAGGGTGAGGATATATTTCTATAGATACATCTTTAGCATCTTGCATTCTTTCAGAGCTGGTAGTTGCCTTGAAGGGGCAACATAAGTTTATTTGTTATGATAATATGACTGGTAGGTGTGCAAGACTTGTTCTCATTATTCCTGCAGTGATCAAAGTAACTTCAAAGGCACCAAAATGTTGAGCTGACCCTCTGTTCTTCCCTCCCTTGAAAGGCAAACAATTGCAATTCTGTTTGTGGCTTCTGGCTCCAGATGCAAATCATTTTAGATACAGTGGATAACTGAAAGATAAAACCACTCTACCATAACCAGCTAATAATACTGGACTCCTGTTTTCATAACAATACTCTATTGAAACCATGCTTTTTTCTCTAAACTTGACTCAGCATTTTAGCCGCAGAAGGCGAGGCAGCATCTAGATTTTCTTTCTTTGCACATCAGCTCTAAAAGTAGATAACTCTTCAGTGCAGGACAGACAATCTGAGCCATGTCTGCTCGATAAACTAGTTTTAAATGGAGATATTTTTAGAAAGTGTCAATACTTACGCTCAAACTACCCAATTACATAACTATGCTTATCTTCTTTTGCCACTAATCAATTCCTATTATTAGACAGACTACTTCTTTCACTCTGCTATCCTTTGTAGTTAGTTGGAAGGAGCTAGAAGCTCTATTTGAAGACCATAGTTACATACCTGTTGCAAAAGGGGTAACAAGTTTCTCCAGGGGCCTTAAATGTTTTTCTGCTGAAGCAGCAAATTAAGGTGTTGATAAAAGAAGCTGAAAAACATTCACATTTTTTCCATGTCTTTTTCAAAAATTGGTTTTGTTGCTTGCTGCTGTATATCAAATGCCTTGATCCTTACTTTGCACCTTTGACTTAGAATGTGGAAGAAACCAAAGCAGAGGGATAAATGGAAAGTATTACCCAAGAAGTGTTTTTGTGCCTGGGGAATAGAGGTTGGTTTGTTTACTTGCTTTTAGTGGTAAGACAGATGAGATGCACAGGTGTGGTGGTGTGCATTTGCTGTCTAGCCCTCGGCTTGCTAGAGCAGTAAGGGAAAAAGGCAGCTTTTAAATCGGATTTGTGTGACTCAACTATTTCTGATGAAAAGCAGCTTGCACTGGAATGAGAGCTTACAGTTTTGCATTATTGCCTTCTCAACGGCTATCAGGAGTACCTAAGATATGTTACATGAAGATTTTGAGTTTAGTTTTTCAAATGTACAGATTTTTTTCTTGCGCTTTCTGTGTCGTGGAGGGGAGGCTTGTTAAGCTCACTTGAAATAACCAGTCTCTGCAGCTTCTTCACCTACTTAAAAGGTTTGGTTCTCCACACTTGGCCACACTCAGATCTTTTTGCAGACTTTAATGATTGAGTGTCTATCCAGCATGAGGTCCTCTGTACAGGAAGCACAGAGATAAGAAGATAACTTAAAAAAATTTGTTTCCTTACCTGCATCTTTCCTTTTCCCCTCTTCACTGTTTTTCCCACCTTGCAGTGCTCCTAAAGTCTGAACTCAAAGCCATGTGAAAGGGAGATGAGACGGGAGCTGATTCTCCAGGCAAGCTCACAGTTTAAATCTGCTCTGAGTTAGGGGCCTTCTGGTCAATACAATGAGCTTGTGGTGGTCTTTTTCCTGATTGACCTGTACAGAACCAGTGTAATCAAGTAATGCTGGACCACTGAATGATCATAATCATGACCAACTGTGAGCTGGAGATTATGGTGTGAAAAGTGGAGATGTAATGCTACCAGCCTTTTCTTACAGAGGCCATTCTGAAGAGTCTTTCAGAACTGGCAGTCTTTCTCACCATTGACTAGAAGCGTTTGAAGTCAACACTTGCTTATGCTAGGTGATGTGACTATCACTGTAGTTGCATACTTTCCGAGCAATTGGAGTTTTTTGGTAAAAGAAAATACCCATGGACACCTACCTGTTCAGCATCATCTAAGAAAAATATCCTTGTAAAGGTTGCTCAGCTTTCTAAAGTTCTTATTTGTTTTCCAGGTCTTTCGGTGTTGTACTCTGGGAGATTGCAACGTTAGCGGAGCAGCCGTACCAAGGCATGACCAATGAACAAGTGCTCCGCTTTGTGATGGAAGGAGGTCTGCTGGAAAAACCAGACAATTGTCCTGATATGCTGTAAGTGTCAACAGTTACCACTGTTCTCAGTGCACAGGTGATGCTTTTTGATCCCTTCAGTGTCCGCTTCTGCCCTATCTACCCCAGGAGGTGTTATTAATGAGTGATAGTAACGTGAGGTGCGGCTTGAGCGGTCTCTGTCAATCTAGTATTTTACAGTAGTTAAGCCATAGCAGAAAACAACTTTGCTTGTAGCCAGAATCTCACTTTGGACTATGTCCTCTAATAAGGAAATAAACCCCAACCTTGTGTGTTCCTGAATAAATTTATATTTAGTAAAAGCTCATAAGTAACATTTGGTACAGCAGAAGACTTTGTGCCTAAGTCTTGTCTCCTCTGCTTAGACTGGTTCTGTTGAGTATAAAGACAAAAAAAGAGCTTAGGATGAGCTGAAATGTATTGGGCGTAAACTCTGTGGAATTGAACTTTTCAGTTCAGCATACTGATAAATGAATATATCATTCCTTTGTCTGAAGCAGCTTTGGATGTGCTATTTGAGTCACAGCGCTCATCACGTTGAGATAAACAAATCTTCCCTGCTAACAGTTTCCTTTCCTGTAAGCACAGAAAGTAGTACGCAGAAAAACCTTCGCCTGCCCCTAGAATCAATACAAAGCCTTGCAGCAGAGGAGGGTGTGCAGTGCAGCAGGCTTCAGTTTTTAGCTTTACATTGTTGAAATACTTCTGCTGGCTTTTGTGTACAGCAGTTTCAGTTGTTCAGACTTTATTACTTTGATATACTTCCCAAACTGGCTTTGGGGAAGGAAATACTGTGTCTTGCAGTTATTGAAATTTGTTGGAGGCCCACAGAAGGGATACAATCACTTAAGGGCCTCAGCTGCTTGGGATTCTTAGGAAAAGAGCTTTTTTGGCTGGAGTGCTGGCTTTGGTTTCAGATGACAGGCAGTGTTGTTTTGTTGTTTGAGGGGGGTGGGTGGTACATGCAGGGGGAGGTGTAGCTGCCATGTGATTCCTCAGCTTCACATTCTTTCCCTTCCATGATGCTGTGGAGAATTTCTGGCAGTCGGATTGACTGAAGATTGTTTAACACGGTCAGAGCTGTGTAATGTGGGGGGGGGGGGGAAGTAGGCAGAAATGGAGGAAGAACAGGTTGTGTGAAGGGGTCAGATCCCCAGGTCCATAGGAAAAAAACACCTCTACAGTGAGAAGGAACTCAGCAGGAGATTGTGTTAGCAGTTCCCCATTAACCTGGGGCGTGTGTGGTATGAACTGGGGGATGGGAGGAGAGTTCTTTACTGCAGCCCACCCAGCCTGTTCTCCTTCCTCCTCCTCCTCCTCCTCTGCTTGCTGGTGTTGCTACTGGATGAATCTGCTTTGAGGGTAACTGGCTTATGAGCTGGGAGAATTTGGTTAGCGTCTGGCAGAGCAAATCTTTGCACCAGTGTGTAACAGCAAAGGCCTTTTTTGTGCTGATTTTACTGAAGAAACTGTTCACACATTAGTTATGGCCACAAAGACTTTAGCCTGGTATTGTAGAGGTGCAGAATAAAAGTCTTCCTTAGAATTTATCTACTTGTCTCCATTAGAACAAGGAACAGGGCTGAACTCAGAATTAAGGAACATATTTTTATTTTTTTTTTAATTTTTTTTGGTGATACAGTTGTGTATAAAACATACTGACTCTGTCCAAAATGGAAAAAAACAAACAAACAAACAAACAAAAAAACCCCAAACAATTGAATGTACTGACCTTAGAAACTTACTGTGGCTTGCTTTAGCTCCCTTTCAGCTTCTTTTGTCTTTGTATTAGGACAGACACCCAAGTCTGCTGAAATTCAAATAGGCTGTTGTAGGAATAACAGTAGGGAGCTCCAGGAATAATCTTCACCGTTGTTCCGTGTGTGTGCATTTGGCATTCAAGGAACCTATTCTGCATTACTGTGGTGCTTTTTTCTTTCCATGTTTTCTTTGCTTCTTGCCCTGTCTTCCATCCCATTTGCCCAAGATGCTGTAAAGACGCTGTGCAGCACTCAGTAACCTGACAACTGCTGCCAGCCTTGAACCTGGCGTGTGTTGCCTCTGGCAGGCACAGAGGCCTGGTCTGCAGGCAGAGATCCTCTCCCCACTCCAGCTCTCTGATAACCCACTTCTCACTGTGGGATGTAGCAAGAAAATTACTGAATGGCCAGAAAGGTGCTTGTAACAGAGTTGCTAAGAGCCCTGAAATTGCATGTGAAGGTTGCTGTACATCCCCAGCATGTTTCACACAACTGCCTGCTCAAGCACCTTATGAAAACTTTTCTAAAATAGGGGGTCCTCTTTTTTGTGGAGGTTGCTAAAAGATTCGGTTTAAAGACAGGTTTCTTGGCATGTCTGTGCCAGTGGAAAGTATTTTTTTAGACAGCACAAATTCTTGCTGATGGAGACCGACTGGTCTGTGATACTTTAATATTAACTCACATTATTAACTCAAGATGTCCAGAAAGCAAAGTCCACCTGCTGCAAGGAATTCAGTGTATTTCTTGTGCTTGGTACTGCCTGAAAGCAAGCAAGAAGGGAAGCCAGGAACTGCACTTCAGTGTATTTCACGTGGTAGGCTACAAATGCAGAGATACTTTTTTCTTTAAATTAGTTTCACTTGGAAACAACTAAAATTATGGGCAGAACATAAGTTTACCTTTCTGTAGAGAGAGGGGAGTGTACTGACATACAAAAACTTCCAGAACAGGTGGGGGAGGTAGACTGCTGTGGGGAAGCATAGATAAGAATAGTGAGAAGAATCTTGCTGCAACTGTCACTGAATCTACTATTTTTAACCTCGCAGATTATGTGAGTGTTGACACAGCCGTGCACACTCCAGCCCCAGCGCAGGAGTTTTTGTAAGGGCCTCTTGTTGCCCCCCCTGCGTGAATGCTGCATGGTGCAAGCAGTCTTGGACGTGCCATGCCTCCTCAAACTGCAGTGCTAGTAGTGCTTGTTAGTGGCTGTGCTTTGCTAACCCCTTGTAGCAGCAAGTCAGTAGCTTCTAGATGGATCAGAGAGCCAGGACACTCGAAGAACTGGAGAGGTTCTGCTCTGCGGCTTGGTTGTATCAGATGCTTGTGCAAAGGGGGATTTTATGGCATGGTTTTCTTGTGGTTCAGAGAGGTGGTAAATCCCTGTGAAACGCCTAAGCACAAAGGGGATGGTATTTCTAGAGGCTTTTTGCTCTTATACAGGGTGAAACGACTCAGTTCTGTTTATGCTACACCCTCTTGGCATAGTTTGCATGGTTTTACAGACAGAACTATGCAATAAGACAGATGGTTCAATATGACGGTGCCAGGAGAAGCTTTGCTGGTTTTCTCTTCTTCCTGTGTAATAAGTTATGTTTTTATGTACTACCATTGTTACAGCAGTGTTCATCAGGTGATGGCTGCGTGGCAAGGTTTGTTACAGCTGAAGCTCTCAGTGTGTTCCCATGGGGCTTTTAAAAGTTGTGGAGGCTGGAATTCCACTCTGTTTTCGAAGCAAATCTACTTCCCCCATATATATTGTAGATGACTAGAGTATTTATGCATTGCTGTTTTTTCCTTCTGCTCCTGGTGAGCACTTGGTTAGAAACTAGAGTTTGCTGAGCAGAGGTGTCAGCATGTAGCAACAGCAGAGTAGGGAAGGTCTGTTCACTTTTCCCCACCAAATCAAGTCCCATGCAAAGCACAAACGCACATGCAAATGGAATGCAGCTTCTATAGTAAATTTCCATTTTCTGTTTTTTACTGTCTCAGTGGAAGAAGTAACTGTGTTTCTGCTCAGTTCTTTGAGCAAAAGATGCATGAGATGCACGCTGGCTATTCCTTTATCTCACAATGATGCCTCCAACTTCCTGGAGCTCACTTGCCACCAGTTAGAAACATACTTTATAAAACTGCTCAGGTTGTATTAACAGCCTGTAGATTCTTCTGTTGTCTATTGGGAAGGTTTGTTTTGTTTAAGACAATGTAAACAAGGTTTTTGAACCCTCAGAATTAAGAAGGGGAAAAAAAAATCCTTTTATGGGAACTCTGTAGGGTTTTTAAATCTGGAATGGCTTAAAAGAAACATCACATGTCCTTGTTTGTGCTGATGTCACATGCATTACTCCACTGCTTGTGGTATCTCCTTAGCGTTGCCCTTAGGCCTCAGGGCAAAGTGCCAGTGAATATCCAGTGTTCTTGGCTCCAGCTAATGCTTCTATTCAGGGACGCAGCAGTCAGCTGGAAAGGAAACAGCAATGAAGTAACAGAAATGGATTTTATATATTTATGTCTCAAGCTTTCCTCCTCGTTTGTGGGTGAGGGTATAGTGCAGTTTTATAGTTTGGCTTCACTTTTGCTATGAAAGACTTTTTAAAGACTCAAAAACAAGCAATAGTTGAGCAGTGTTTATATGTCTACGTGCCTGTTGCAATACAGCACTGAGTACCCGGGGAGTTCTCCCAGCACAGACTGGTTTTGCCAGCTTTTCTTTTGGGTGTCACAAGGCCACGCTCAGGTTGTGCCAGCTGAGCTCTAACAAGAATATTTGTGACTTCAAATGCACTGCAATTGAGATCGCTTTTGTTTTGGTTGAAGTGCTCTCAGCAGTGTTTGCATCCCAAGCACCGCTGCTTTCCATCGCTTTGCTGCTTCACATCAGCTGAGAAGGCAGTGCACCCTGTGAGGAAACACAACAGTATTTCCCAAGGAGCGAGTGTCTGGGGGAAGAGGTTCCTTTGCTTTGGTTTTGTTTCGGGTCAGGGTTCCCAGACTCTCTGGACCGTGCTGTGGGCAGCGATGCCCAGTGACAGGCTTCAGAGTCCAGGGTTTTCCAGCTTGGTGACAGTCCTGTTGAAAGATTTGCTCTAGAGCAGGGATTCTGGAGACATTAAGACATTATTCTGTGATGGACTTTGGTGTTATTCAAAAAAGGAGTGAATTTTTGTCTGTTTTTGTCTCTTTAATTAAAAAAAAAAAATTCCACACACTGCTGCAGCCATGTAGCAAACTGCTGCCAGGGCGTAAGGCAGTGAGAGCAATTAAAGTATAAAATAGTATTGCATGCTTCTGGGGAAGTTGGGAGAATGGTGTGGTGGTTTTATAGAATCAAAACTAAAAGTTTAGGTGACCTGGCTCTAACCTTACACGGGAAGGCTGGCAGAGGTGGGAAAATGAACCCAGATCTGGCCACTGGACCAGGCTGCTGGCCAGGCAAGGAAAAGGGTCTTACTGGAACTGCAGGTCACAGCACTGGAAGGTAAGTCAGAGCTGTGAAGGATTTTCCAGTATGTTATCTTAAGTGAAAGATTTGTTCATTGGGCTTTGTGTTTTTTTTTCTTTTTTTTTTTGTTTGTTGTTGTTGTTTGTTTTTTTGTTGTTTTGTTTGTTTTTTGTTTGTGGTTTTTTTTTTTTTTTTTAACTCATTCGTAATCTGTCACAGCAAATAGTAATTTTGGCCAGTGGTGACTTCCTACACACAGCATGTTTCTTTGAGTACTGTGTATGCAGAGAGTTGACTCAAAGAGTTAATGTTGATTTTTCTTTTCTTCTTTAAAGTTGTCCTATTGCTTGTACTGTATTAACAAGACATCCCTCTTCCACCTTTACAGACAGTGAAATCCTTTCTTATGTTGTGTTTAAAGCTCAGGGTGATCTCTCAGGAATATCCAATTTTGCTGTGTCATGAAAATGCTGTTTGCATTATGTATGTATTACTCTTTCATTTTTGTGGTTTTGTTTTGCCAGCGTGGGACATTGTACAGATCTAATCATGGATGTGCTTAAACAGATGATCTCACACTTCATAAAATATTAATGCATCCCTGGCCATAAATGAAAACAACATAATTTTAAAGTAAAATATTAGAGAATGTCTTTGAGATTAGCAAATGTCTTTTGGGGATTACAATTAATTTTAATGTCATTTTCTTTTTTCAGGGGAAAAAAGCAGTGCTTTACTTTGTGTGTATTTCCTATTTTATTTTTTTTGCAAGGCAATATTGGTAGGGTAGGGATTTGTTGTTTGAAAAAGATACTCTGAGAGGCACTGTCATGTAGCTGTATGACTGAGAAAGCATAGGAGATTTAGGAGGAAAAAGAGAAAAACACCAAGTCAGAATAAAAATACGAAATGCTTCCGGATGTCAGGTATCCACAAGACTGTTTTGTGGGCAAGTGCATGGAAGGGAGTGAAGAAGGTTGAGATAGGAGCTATAGAAGTGAATCAGTGATTAGAAAGAAGGTCGAAATGTGACGCGGGGATCTCAGCCTGTAAAAATTCCGTCACTTTGTCTTCCATCAGAATTGAATGATTTTCTGCGTCGCGCGGTCTGGTTCAGTCACGGTTGGTTTGGCTCCAGCCGGGGCTGGTAAAACACCTCAGTCAGTGGTTTTGCTGTGTGTTTCCCGTCCAGGTTTGAACTGATGCGCATGTGCTGGCAGTACAACCCGAAGATGAGGCCCTCCTTCCTGGAAATCATCGGTAGCATTAAAGACGAGCTGGATCCAGCCTTCAAAGAGGTCTCCTTCTTCTACAGTGAAGAGAACAAGCCTCCGGATACAGAGGAGCTTGACCTGGAGACTGAAAACATGGAGAGCATTCCTTTAGATCCCTCCTCCACCCTCCAACCCACTGACAAGCACTCAGGACACAAAGCCGAGAACGGCCCGGGCGTGGTGGTCCTTCGGGCCAGCTTCGAGGAGAGACAGCCGTACGCACACATGAACGGGGGACGCAAGAACGAGAGGGCCTTACCGCTGCCCCAGTCTTCGGCCTGCTGATCCTTAGAACCAGAATCTCACAGAAATAAGACGCAGAAAAACACGCGCATTGGGGGAAGAAAGAAAGAAAGTTACAATATATTCAAAAGCCTACTGTACCTCAGTGGATCTTCAGAACTGCCATAGCTGCACTTGGGAGAACCCTTTTTTCAGTAAACAAGTTACCGTATTTTTCTTTTTTCAATATGCAAGCAGATGTTTGTTTCAGTAAAGGACTCCATTCATGGGGCACACAGTTGGCCTTTTAAAACTCTAATGTTAACACTTAATAGCAACAGAAAACTTGAGATCTGATGTCTCTCTCTCCTCTCTCTCTCCTCTTTCTCTCTCTTTCTCTCTCTTTCTGTCTCTCTCTTTGCTTCATAATGGGAAACATATCTGCGTGCAAGTTCAACCGTACAGCACTTTTATCAGATCAAAGATATCGCAGGCCAGGTGGCTCCCCGGTACCCTTGCAGGCACCTGCCTAACACTGTAGGTCTTTATAAAAAATACAAACAAACAAAAAAAATACAAACAAAAAAAAACACACACAAAAAAAAATAAAAATAAAATAAAAAAAAACAACAAAAAAAAAAACCAACAACAAACCAACAAACAAACTAAAAAAGACTGGATTTTTAATGTTGCTCTTTAATCTTTTTAGGAACACATAAAAGAATAAAAAAGGGCCATCATTCGTCCAAGGTTGTTACCATTTTCAACGCTGCCAAATTTTGCCAAAAAAATGAACTCTTTGTTTTTTGTTTTTGTTTTTTTGTAGGCATGGAAGGAGCACAGTAATCAACTGCTCTGTTTAAAAGAGATCCTGACCAATACATTCTATTCAATCATACACTGGTATTTAAAAAAAAAAAAAAAAGTAATTTAAAAAATCAAATTGTCTAGACCTTTTTTCAAAACTGGACAAAATGTGATTTTATTTTTTTTTTCTTGTGATGGAGAAGATAACAGGGATGGGGGTAAAGAAACAGCCCTCCCTCCACCCCTATCCCCATCCCAATGAATTCTGGACAAAACTGGCAGTGGTGAGCTAAACACGTGCATTTCGTACAAAAAAAGTCAACCGCACGCCAAAAATGAAACATGAAAATAACCGGCAGAGATCTCCATCGTTGCAGCCTGCCTTCCTTCACAGGCTTGCAAGGAAATAAACACCTAGAAACCTAAATTGGAGAAGACAAAAAAAAGCAGTAACCGGATTCAAGTATATGATGCTTTGTTGACCTTTTCTCTTTATTATTAAGACTTCTCGAAGGGTCTTGCAGTTCTATGTTAGACCATGGATCATTTGCATACACATTGTCTTTTGTGTCACTTTTATAACTTTTTTACGGTTCAGATACTCATCTATATGTCTGTACAGAAAAAAGCTGCTATTTTTTTTGTTCTTTATCTTTGTGGATTTAATCTATGAAAACCTTCAGGTCTGCCCTCCTTCCCTTCCCTCCCCTCCCACTTCAACAAATTTTCTTATGCTTTGTACTATAGTGTGTAACTTTACTTCCTCCTTCCCAGTAACTGATACCTTTCATATGATTTGCCATGAACTGTTTAATGCCTTTTTATAAATACATTTCCTCCTTTTTTTCCTTTTTTTTTTTTTTTTTTTTTTTTTTTTTTTTTTTTTTTTTCTCCTCCTTTCCATTAGTTGTTTTACAACATCTTGGCTGTGTGGGCTACAGGGCTTTTGAGGGGGACATGGAGAAAGAAGGGACACCCCGCACGGAAACAACTTGAGCAGTGCTGCGGTGTGGTGTTTTTAAACCCCAGTTTTCCTTCCTTCCCACTAACCTCTGCCCAGACAGCATGCGAGTCTCTTACAGTGCAAGGCATGATACAAACTCAGGTCAGAAAAAAAGGTTAAATATTTAGTACATTCTTGTTCAGTGTTTATATTCATTGTTGTACAAGGGTCCTACCCTCCTCCTTCCCTCCCCGCTTGTTTTGGTTGTGGCACACATCCACCCACCCATCCCCACACACTCTCCCCACACAAACACACACACGTATTTTATTTTTTTATTTTATTTTATTTGTTGGGTACAACAGCAGACACCAGGCTTTTGGGTCACTGATTTTTAAAAAAGACTATTTTAACCCTTCCGCCCCGTGAACAAGAGCTGTGCCAGTTGCAGCTGGTGATGCCAGGCATTCTTAAGGTGGCCACTGAACACCTGGCTCCGGCAAACCCCAGCTCTTCACCTTCCCGATGAGGAAGCCCTCGCAGAGGGCACCCTGGGCTGCACTTCGCACCCCTGGCAAGAAAAAAAAAAACCCAAAGCCAAACCAAACCCACCACGCCATTTCCATGGGGCTGGGTGGAAAGCGTTGTAGCTGGGGCCGGTGGCTTGGCTAGCAAACAGTTAAGTGTTGGCAGCTATGGAAACCCGTACAAGTACAAGCTTGTTGCTTAAATCATAGACCAAACCTCAGAACAAAAGAAAACGAGTAAGCTTGTTTGTTCAGTTGCAGAAGCCTTGGTGAAAGGGGAAGGAGGGGGCCATCAGAACGTCTACAACCAAGGAGTCGTACCAGTTGCTCTTCTTACATTAGTTACAGCATCTAAGCCTTTGTTTAGCACTGATCCAACCAAATGATGGCAGTGAAGAGGTGGTTCTGGGATGGAAACGTTTAAATCTTTTGAGTAAGAACAAAGAATTAAAATATACTGATTGCTAGTTTTGACTGGAGATTTTAAAAAGTTTGTAGTGCTTTTTGCTTGTGTAGTTTAGATCCCATTATCTTCTCTTGCCTCTGTCCCATAGTTATTTTTCCCTTTTAAAAATGAAAAAGACAAAAAAGTTAATTAAGAAGGTATTCTATGTAGGATTTTTTATTTATTTTTGTGATATCAGTTTAAATCACTGTAGAGATGCCCCATAATAAATTTAAATACTGAGATAAGGGGTTTTGAGTATGACGGGGGACAGTTTTTGATTTTTTTCAAACATTTATCTACCTCACTCTTATTTTTTTATATGTGTGTATATAAAAAAAATACATCTCACATTTCTCAGCAGCCAATAAATGCCGTTGATACTGGTAACCTCTCACTCCATATACCACATGCTCTAGGTTCTGGAGGGGAACAGTCACTGCCTGTCACAAAGGGTCACCTCAGAATATTTGCCGCAATTCCAAGGAGTTTCTCCACTTCTTTGGTTTAGATTCTTTACTGCAAGGAGAAATCCAAGAGTTGGCTGATGTAGTGTGACCATTCTTAAAGGAAACACAAAGGCTTTTTAACGTGCTGTCAGCAGTCCTCAGGTCAGCAACAAAATGCTGTGTGTTCAGATGAGCGGAGACAGAGCTGACCTGATACAAGGACTTCAAATTATGACTATTTGATGAAATCTGTTACAGAAATCAATTGTTTACAGTGTCTGAAGGTCCAGAAGAATTACTAGAGTAAAGGGAATGGTCTTTCTGTTTGTCCTGTAGAATGGGCTAAGTCATTACTACCAGTTTTTCCTCAGATGCCACAAGCACCGAAAAGGCATTTGGCTGAATCAGCACCTAAAAATAAATTGGCTCATACAGCAATAGCATTGCTTTCTTGACCAAAAAAAAAACACTGAAAAAACCTGTCACAGGCTGCCTGATGATACTACTACATCGAGTTTACAGCTTTGGATCTTTGCTGCTTCTGTTTGATGAGAGCACTGATATTTTTTTTTTTTTTTTTTTTTTTTCAAAACTAACATTGAATTGATTTCTTTTAACGTGCCAGTAAAAATTCAGTCCCCTTTTCTTTCCCTGTTTATATGCTTCATAACTGTGGATTCCGATGGACCAGCCATCAGATTTTAACTGCCCTCTGACAGCGTGTAACTGGTTTACAAGCACACAGGACTAACACGAGCTTGCCATCAACTTGATGTATAATGTTTCTCTTTTTCCAGCTCTGGCAGCTGTTCGTGCAGGTGTTGGTTGTGGTATCTGAATAATGTGGTGCTTGGCTACTTCGAGTTGTACATGGCCTCTTGAATACACAGCGCTGTGGTTAAGTACTACAGAGTTTGTCTTTGGAGGGAGTGTTTCTCTCTGGCCCTGAGAAACCAGCAAAATTTCAAGTTTTTGCTAGGTTGTTTTGCTTTTCCATTTTTTATTAGGTTCCGGTGACCTTTTGGTGCAGTGGCTGTTCTCCTCTCTTGCACATATGGATTACCACAACTGGAGATCCTCAGATCTTTCAGCTGGCTAGGAGGGTTTTGTTAAAACTGTCCAAGTTACTGGTTTTTATAATTGTATGTAGGTGGTTTTAAAATGCATTAGGAAGAAACACTAACGACGTAGCACCCATCATGATAAGCATTTCAAAAAGCACTTCAGTAGAAGACAGTCACGTGCCATCACATCCGCATGTGTGATGACAGTCAGCTCTCCTGGACCAAACCACCTTCATCATACCATTGCGTTCTGTGTTTGCAATTCAAGCTTAATTCCTTTTTTGTTCTGTTTGTTTCCATAGGGGTTTTTTTTTGTTGTTGTTGTTGTTGTGTTTTGTGCATTTTGAATAGCTTTATTCACATGGGTTTTTCATGCAGACTTCCCTTGGACAGTAAATCAACTTGTTTGTGCATGTGAACAACTGAGAATTGATGTTGGCTTGATAGAGTCATAATATGGTTTGTAATGTTGTTCTTCCCTGAGACCACTGGCTTGTCTGGTATGGAAAATTTATTTAGAACTTCAGCTATGTTTGAATAAAGTTAAAGTAATCCAGTTTGTTTATAAATTAAAAACAAAAGCCCACCCAGCCCTGAAAACCAGCATTTTGATGGATGGTACCAAGGTGTTTTAATGCAGTAGGATAACAAACCGGCGTCACTGCAGGGAGCAGGCGGCTTTGATTTTAGTGCTCGGCCACTGTTCTCACCTGACTCGCATTTAAAAGCTGCTCGGTGGCGCAGAAGGTGGTTTGGTTGCAAAGGAACGTGGCTCCTACCTAAGCACGGAGGTGTCGGCTGCGTGGTACTAAACGAGATGCTCTTGGGGGAGCGATAAACTAGACGCAGAAGCCGAGCGTGATGGAAGGTGTGAGGCCGGCCTGTGTGCACCAAGTCTTTCTCAGCACGATGCCTCTGCTATTAAAGCTGGTTCTAAGTGATGTATGATTCTAGGCATGTTCACACTGATGCTCCTCTTGGCCTTTAAAAAACCAAGGAAGGAAAGCCCAGTTTGCCCAGGACGACTGGTCACCAGATGGAACTGCTGTCAGGTCCTCTGGGAACTGCTGAGGGGTGTTCAGTACAGGCTGAGTCCAAGTGAACAACACTCCTATTGTTGGTGTAACTCCATACATATATATCTATATATACATATAGATATCTGCATATGTATATCTATAATATAGATATATATATATATATATTTAAACCCTTTTCATTCCATTAGTACAAGTAACACTTGTTTCCTGTTATTCTTACTTTGTTTGTCAACAGTGTATTTAATCACTGGGCTGAACAACAGTGGAGGAAGGTGCAAGGGATCCACTCCTTACTAACCAGTGATGAAAGCCAGATATTGCAACTTAACCCATGAGTAGTTGTGCAGACAAGAATTTAAGAATGATGTGTAGAAACAACACTAGTGGCCAGGGGTGCTGAAGATACAGAACTACAGATAGGCAGGAGGGCTTCGAAGGACACCTGGGTTCAGAAGCTGGCTGCTCAGAGACGCTGAGCGGCCTCTGCAATTGAGCACGGCCTGGTAAATCAGAATTGAGACAGGTTTGTGTGGAGACGCGTGGAAACGGAGGATGTGGAAATGGGTATTTACAAAGACACAGGGCTTGGCAGAAGTTGGAGGTAGTTTCCTGAGCCTGGTATGTGGGACAGCATCAGAGCTCAGGCATCACAATTCTGATCGCTGGTACTTGTAAATAAACCTCTGGACTTTCCAGCTGGAGTGGTAAATTCATTACCGGGAGTTTTAACGGTGGTTGTTATCGGTCTGTATGAATCGGTCTCAACTTACAGTTGGTCTGGTTTGCAAGTACCTGAAGACTATCACTAGTTTGTGTGTGTGCTTATGCGTGTGTGCTCATCTTTTGGGGTTTTTTTGGTTTGGTTTTTTTTTTTTTTTTTTTTTGGTATGCGTTTCGTTGATTAGTAATCCATTAGCATTTTCAATAGGGCTTTAAGTCCAGTAGATTACGGGTAGTCAGTTGACGAAGATCTGGTTTACAAGAACTAATTAAATGTTTCATTGCATTTTGTAAGTACATAGAATAATTTTATAAAATGTTTGTAGTTTATAAATGCCTAAAATATAATTTAAGGGCACTTTTCTGTGTCTGTGTATGGGTGTGTCTGTATGTGATCAGTTTTTTTGATGGTACCAGTTTACTAGCTAGCTTTACAATATGCCAAAAAGGATCGCTGACTTGTCCAATTCATGGCGTGTCCCTCTCCCCCTACCCACCCAAGCTTTGTGTCCCAGTATACAGCGAACGAATAAAGAAGTTGGGGAAATGTTCTGTATCTTCAGTATCCTGGTCTTCCAGAGCCCTCTGGTTGGGGTGGGATCATCTTAACTGGTCATTTCACGCTGCTGTCTAGGGCAGTTAACTTCATGGATTACAAGAACCTCACTGGTCAGGGAAACAGAACGGGTTTTGCTGCTACCCAGGCTCGCTCGGGCTGGTCAGTACCTGCTTCACGGTGGCCGTGTGGTTTGAAGGATGCGACTGCATAAGGGAAAGAGGGAAGATGGTTTTCATAATTACTGTTGAAGAACTCTTTGCAGATTTCTCATCACTTCACAAGTTTGTGTGCAGCCTCTAAAGACGTTGAGCACCATTTGAAGCTTTGTTGAAATGAGCAAGGCAGGGTCCCTATTTATTTTTATTTAAGCGTATTGAAGATCCCTTCACCCTCACTCCCCCGATTTGACTAACCACATTGCTGAAGGGTTCTGATGATTTAGATACTGTTTCAAAATCAGCTCTTCTGTTTTCTGAACCAGTGAGGTTTGAGATGAAAGGATTGGCCAGAGTTTGTCTACCTCTGGGACAAAAACAAAACTAGAAAGTGCTAAGGAATGGATGCAGTTGCAAATACAACATTTTCCAATTTTTCTTGTTTAAATTTTTTTAAGAGAAAATTAAACAATAACATGGCCAATTTATTACATAAAAAGACTTGCTGTGTATAAATTATTCCTAAAGAAATTCCTGTGTTTATATTAAAATGAATCAGTAGATAAAAAAAAATTTCAAAATGTTTTTGTATATTCTGTTGTAAGAATTTATTCCTGTTATTGCGATATACTCGGGATTCTTTACATTATGAAAAGAAGAAACTTTGTCTATTTTGAATGGCTGAAGCTAAGGCTCCTTTAGTTTCTCTTACTCTGCTTTTTTCTAGTAGTTTCAGTACTACATGATTTAAGTTAAATAAAAGAATTCTGTATGCATTTGCCTGTTTCTGAATTTGTTGCTCCTTATGCAAAGCAAGTACAGGTTAGAAAATTCAAAGTAAATCTTCTCTGTTTTTTTTTCACTGCCCTGTTTGGCTGCACTTAATTTGAGCTACTGCACATAAATCTTAGTTAGAGGTCAATACTGCCATTATGCTGTGTTGAAATCAAAAGTATTTTCATCCAGCGACACTGAGCTTGTGAACCCTTTTTGACTGGGACTCTGAGTACTGTTTTGCAGTTGGTAGTTCCCTTGAATAAGGTAAGCATTTTTATTTTTTTATTTATTTGAAGAAAACCTGCTCATTTACCCTTACCACGACCTAGAGAGGAGGCATCCAGCACATGGTTATCAGTTTGCTGTAACGGTCACTGGAAAAAGACAGTGGCAAGAAAACTGTCATTATCTTGGCATTTCCAGTTCCTCCAACTTGTCATCAGTGTTGACTAAAATAAGGCAGGATGGTGGCCCAAAGCTTCCTCAGCTGTCTGTGTTTGAGACGTGGAGGAGCCTGGCTTGGCAGGGAGAAACACAGAAATGATCTGTCGCTGTCCGATTCCAAGTGTTCCAGTCTGGAATCTGATTCGGTTCCTGTTTTGTAAGTGACATTATGTGCCATAACACTTTCCACAGCACAGTGCTTCAGCGATCGCCTTTCTTGGGACAAGTCAGCTCTCTGATTGTGATACACAGGTCCCTGAATAGCCCTCGCCTCTCCTGCTGAAAGACCGTTGCCTTTGTGCTGTGTCTGTGGGAGGCCCACAGTGTTTTCCTTCGGGACAGGCACTGGGAATTTGGGCTCCGTGTTTGTAGGCAGTTGAAACCCAAATTACTAAGAGCATTACGGTTCCTGCTGGATTCCAGCTTTTGCTTTGAGTCACTCTGGGTTCATAGCCCATTTCTGATGTGGAAACCAGCATTTACAGCAGGTCACTGAGAGAACTGTAAAGTGTTACGTTCCCATAACAGGATCCCTACCTGTGTTTTGTTTTCCTCCGTATTTACATTTTCTGCCTGGACACGTATGGCTGAACTATCCCTGTGGACTCGGACAGGGGCCAAGGGGGCCTCTGTTCTATCTGTCCAGTGCTGAATGTCCTTACGGCCGTAGGCATCCGCCTTGGTTCGGCTCAGTCTTTATTAATGTCTTCCTAACCATCAGAACTAGGATTAAGCATCTAAAATGTTTTAAATCCAGTTTCACGCCGCGTTAAATCTGAAGCAACCTTATAATTGTTAGCAATACAGACTGCCAATCATTTGTTTCTTCTCTCAAGGTTTTTACACCAAAGAGAGATGTAAATAGTTGTTCGGTTTTTCTAAGGAAATTGCACTGAAACATAGAATATAAAATCCTTTATGTAGGGGTTTTAAATAATCTTTAGATTTGTTTAATTTAAGGGGTAATGAATTGCATTCTAAGAAATCCTCATTTTTTTTTTCTTACATGATCCATCTTACTCTCTCTCTTTCCCACATTGTTTTAACATTTCTAAGATAATGGTCTGTAATGCTTTTCCTAGAAGGTCTGCTGTTACCGATGTGGATAATGGCGGCACATGGATGAAAGCTGCTCTTCCATTGCCATAGTAGAGAGACGCGTAGTAGGTGTAATCACAGATGTATCTGCAATATTAAGAACAAAACCAGTGACCTGAATTAAGGAACAGTAAACTTTGATGAAATATTCTTTTAAGTAGCCAAATCAGATCCGGTTTATGAAATTATTAAAAACATATTTGCTTAGTGAGTAAAGGAAATGATGAAATAAACCAAGTTTGAGAAACGAGTGTTTTTTATCTGATAGTTTGGTTTCTCAGACACCCACCCAGAAGGAACTTTAAATAAAAAAATCACAAGACGTGTATTCTTTTCTAGGCTTCTCTCAGCTACGTGAGATGGGAAGGGTAACACAGCCCACTGGAACTACGGCTGTGTAATACAGTTTTTTGTGTAAGTCATACAATCTCACCATCTGGAGATTTCTTTTCCTTATCACGCTACCCTTCCACTTGCAGGTGCAAATCCTGAAATTAAGGGCCAAGATTAGGTGATTTTTATTTTTTTAAAAAAGATCGTTTACTGTTTTCTTTGTTTTCCTTTTAAATGAAGACTAGCATAATAGAAAATTGCTTCAGTACTGCTGAAACACATAATGAGATCACAGACATCGTTCTAAAGGTACCTGTAATTGCTCTGTTCTTCAGTGTATGTATTTACATTTTGTATCCCTCCCAGTTGGGAAAAATAGATTAAAATCTGCTACTAGTCAGTATTGCTTTCAGACTCTCTTAATAGCTCTGGTTTACTGGGGTTGTTAATCACAGGGCGTGCTATGTTGAAACTTGTTTCTTTTGGAATTTACAAATCCATGGAAAATTATCTACTGGCTGTAGTTTTTCATGAAGGCTGCTTTACATAAAATTTAAATGTATCCCAATTTCAGACGTGTGCCCCGCTGAAGACTTTGCTTCAAAGTGATTTTGGTTGGAGGAAAAGCCGGGGCAAAAATTCTTCAAGGTTAAATGAGCTGATTGAGTTACTTCTGCTTTTATCGTGAGACCCCGATGTGCAGTGTTTACCTTCCCGCATCTCTGGAAAAGATGATATCAATCCCTTCCACTGAAATGTTTTTCCAGAGAGTCTTCATATTAATTGTAGATTCAATCTTTTCTGGGCCATCTAGCATGCAACAGCCGCCTTCTGGGTGAAAACCACAAGCATCCATCTCTTGGTAGCCTTTGTTCTTCCCACACTGCTCAAGGATGAGGAGTGCTTTGGCGGAGGAAGCCAGCCCAACGTGAACAGTAAGCTGGTGTTTCCCACCAGTGAATAACAGGAAATTTAAAATGAGACCTGTTTTTTTTAAAAACAAGTAATGCAAGAGTGCCAAGCATTATGTGAAATACTAGCTTCAAGGTAGGGAGTCTTGCTGTAGCTCATGCTGAAAGAAAGCTTCGATAAGAGATTATAAATGAGAAAAAAATTACGCTTTAGTTTGTTGTGTCTAGTCAGCTCAGGACTTCAGAGCTGCGGTACCTTTTTTTGTAGTTTATGGTGGATTTTTTTCTTTCCTTTGTGCGGCACGCAGTTATGCTGTTTAAATGGTGCGGGGTTAAAACAGCCTGCTAATTACTGTGTGCTCCAAATTTCAGTTTGAAACCTTTGTCACAGTTTTAATAGTCGCTTTACAGGGATGTCTGATGCACATATTGTGCAATACACTTTTAAAGGTCCACACAGAATAATAATACTCATGAATGAAGGGGAAAATTTGTGTAACTTTCTAATTACTCACCAGTGGCTGAAGTGTTGTCCATATCTTGAAGACTTGCTCCTTTGCTTTTTGGTAAACCACTGGCAGCTGCATGACATGGAGATGGATGTTTTTACCAAGGCCTCTCTTGGACAGCTCCTGTGATCACAAAAAAGCCACCATGAACTTGTAAGAGCATCGGTTTTCTCAGATTGTGATAAAGAAATCAGCCTGGTCCAACTGAGAAAACATCTGAAAGAGCAGTGGAATGCTGTCTAAGCCTGCAGTTCCTAAACACTGGTCTGCAGTGAGATTCCCTGGTTTGCAGTACCTCCCCAAATTTTAACTGGGAGAGACTAAAATGTCCCGAACAATTTCCTAATGTCAATCCATGTGGAGCCATTTTCCAAAGGGACGCTCAGTCTCCAGTGGGCGCGGGAGCGGTTAGTGCGCAGGGCCTGGTCCCTGGGGAACCATGAAATACAGGATCTCTCAGAAGAGGCCCACACTTGAAAGCATCTAAATAGGCTTTGATAAAGGTAAGAGCTGTTCCTCCAAAAAATCTAGTAGAGCAACCTGCACTATCAAAAGACACAAATGAAGGAGAGTTCACATTGGCCGTCCACTCAAGTGACGCGCGATGTGCTGTCTTGAACTGGTTCAGGTGATCTCTGCCGGAGGTGACTGTCAACGTGAGGAAGGGCACATTCAGAATGGGTTTAATTTCTTTTTTGGTCTAGAATATGTTGCTCTAGTAAAAGGAAATACCACTCATTGGGATGTTACTTCTCTGCCATTTATGTAGAATTGAATTTCCACATGGGACCTTTTCCCAAAGGAAACAAAAATTCTGTTGGGGATTGAGGTGAAAGAAAGGAAGGCGCCTATCGAAGCAGTGGATTGGCCAGATGGTTGGAGGATGGTCTGGAGAATAAATGTCATGTGGAAATTACTTGAAATTTTTTTTGTCAACGGAACAGGTCTAACAAGCAAGGTATAAGCCTGTAAGTAGAAGGTAGGCTGCTGCAATGGCAGCATGCGGAAGGAATGCATCGAGGTAGAAAGCTTCAGAAAAGTCAAATGGTGGTTGGAAATCCCTGTTGCATTTGAGTGGACTGCTACCAAAGGAAGGTGCTGGTGATGTTTCATAGGCAAAAAGTCAGCAGCAGGTGTGTGATTACCCCAAGAAACCTGTAACTTTTTATTAAATGTCATTGTCTTCTCAAGCTTTTATTTCTCACTAAGGATACTCATGCGGATGAGGCCCACAGTTCTATGCTGTGCTAACCGGGAAATTTGCCCTTCAACACTGGCTTCCTATATAAACTGTTCCAGTTTTCTTGTCAGCGGAAACATTGATTAGCTGTGCTCAATAAACTATTTGACACAAGCAAGGAAACAATGCCTGCAGGGAAGTAAACACATTTAGAGAACAGTGCCAGCCTTTTTTCCTCTGGGCGCTGACAGTCTTTGAGAGACCATTGCATCATTTTGCTTAAGAATGCTGTACTGTTTCTTAGCTTCCAAAAAAGAAAACCCCAGCTGGTTCACAATTAGCATTTTCTTTTCTAAAGCATCTTTAATTTTAACATTTAATGAGATTCTTCCTTTTTGACTGTAACGCTTAGAGGACTCGACTACCCGTACCTTTGCTATGAAATGTGGAGACCCGAAGTAAGTTTTGAGGCCGTTCTCGTGTGCTCTCTGGATTGTCATTCTGTTGTCACACTTTGTCATGGGAGAAACATGCAGAAATACTTTTGTGCAGGACAAAAATGGAAGCTGGTCAATAGTGAAGGGCTGAGAATTTGTGTCAAAGGAAGAGAGTTTCATATGTCCTAAGCAATTTCAGCATGTTGTCAATAATGTCTATTTCTTTGTTGTCTATGAATCCGAACCATGAGCTTATACCCTCTTAGACCAGATGTTGTGAAAACATGGAACAAAAAAAAAAAAAAGGTTGTTCACTTGTCTCAGCCTTAACAAAAACCATTTTTGCATTCAAGGTGAGAGACTGAAGATAGTTAGAGGAGGATGACTGCATGTGGCAACTTGAGCTCACACTGGTAAGTTAATTCAGTGAACAAGTGTGTGTCTTTTGTAGTTGAGACAGCAAAGGAAACTTCAAAGGAGGACAAAAGTTTTGGAAGACTTTTTTGTGGGAGAACTGGTTCAAAAGAAAACATGAGGCTGCTTTGTTGGGAAGTTCTTCCAAAAGGAAAATGAAATCCAGCATTATCAGCTGATGACCTTGAGCTGTTGGTGAGCTGTGGTTGTAGACCCGATCCACCGAGCTCTGGCCCACGTTGTTCCACAGCCCTCCCCAAGGAGAAGGGATTTGCACAGAACAGTTATGCTCAGACGTGGTGGTTGTGTGTCACGCAGGCTGTTAGAGGCATCCTGAACTTCTAGAAAACTCCAGAAAATGCCACTGAGTTTGCCTGAGTTTTCACTGATTTGGGTTGCTGGGGAGGTGGGCAGGGGGCTGCATGTGTTAATTTTGTGAACCTGATTCAAAAAGGCTGTGTTGGTGCAGAAGGAAAGCCAAAAGTTATCAGTGATCCAGTCAGTCTGCAAGCATGTTGCAAACAAAGGGTTTTTTGTTTGGTTGTTTGGTGGATTTCTGTTTTGTTTCATTTTTTTTTTTTTTTTTTAAATCCTGCAGATAACTTTTTAAAGCTTTAGGGATGTATGAAAGTTCCAGAACAGAAATTAAGGCACTAAATGTCATCTCAGTTTCACGGATGATGAAACTAAAGCACGGAGGGAGAGAGACAGAGATTAAGTGACAAATTTCCAAACACCACATGGTCAGTGGCAGGATGAAATAAAAGATCTGATCCTCATCTCCCGACAGCAAACATAGTTCCCAGAAGCAGTTGGAAATGTGACCTGTTCTTTGCACTAACAGTTTAATTACTACGAATGTTGTCACTCAACTTACATTTGTGCCCTATTAACCAGGGACTTTGACCTTGATGGTAGACTGCCCTGGTAGGTTATTTAGCTGCCAAGTTGCAGGCAGGAGTTTCTGGAGGAGACGCAAAAACAGGGTCAGATCAAGGGTTATTGGGTGGGACCATCAATCTGTAATATGAAATAAATAATTCAGGGGGGTCTGGGATTCTGAGGGTCCCATGTGGTGCTGAAGAGCTAACACATCACGGTAACTCAAAGTGATCTGTCAGCAAATGCAGAGTAAATACTTGCTGGTGTTTTCCTTTAGAGAGAATGTTCTGTGTTTCCAGAGTTAGAAGTGCTGCTGGTGGAGATTTCATGCATATTTTAGGAGGGTATTTCAGGTGACTGGACTTATGAGAACCATGAAAAACTTAGTGAGACAGGTTTTTAAAAGAGAAGCTGTCTTTCTAGTGCTAGACAGCCATGTTGGGCCATGTGGCAGTGTCTATAAAAGCTCTGAAGCTTTTCTCAGTGACCCTGGATTGACAGGTTCACCTGTACTTTCAGATCCACCCGACTATCCTTTTCCCTGGACACTCGAGGGGTACTCGCTGAGGAACGAGTACTCCATGGATGCAATGCTGATGAATGCCTCGTGTGTGCGTCGCCTTGTGCTGTGCTGAGAATGTGGGTTCATGCAAAAACAACAGGGTATCCTATGGTTCTTGGAAAATTATATTTCCATATTATAAAGCAGGCAAAGCGGGACAATGCACTGCTACACAGTACAGTAAGAAACCCAAGAATTCAGAAGAAATACTCTTTCTAAACCAGCAGAAATAGAGATTTGGAGAGTTTTGTTTATATTTACCACCCGATTCCTGGGGATTTCAGAAAACGTAAATTGGCTTGTTCACCAAAAAGGTAGTCATAAATAATTAATTTGTAAGAGAAACAATAGAACACAGCCATTTTTCTGAGTGCCCAATGAGGGCATAGAAGGGATGCAGCTATTGGGATGGGCTGGTGCTCACTGGATCAATCTCTGATCCTCCCTATGGCAGGAGGAAGAGGTTGAGGAAAACAGCTGATCCCGTCACCGAGACAGAGTGCAACAGCATCTCACAAAGAAGCTGGTAACAAGGGGTTTAAGGAAGGAGTTGTGCCTAAGAGCAAACATTGCTCACAGAAGTGAAGCTGTTGCTCTTTGGTGAAGACTCCACTTCAAAACACATGGAGGGCGAGGCTACACTTTGAGAATTAGGAGCCTGGAACTCCTGTAAAAATAAATGCAACAGGATTTTGGATGCTTTTGGCATGAGGACCCTTCTGGGATGTGAGCTCTTAAGATTACATGCATCAGCATCACAACATCACTGAGGGTGCCATGGTATCCAGGATTTTGATAAGAACCTAGTTAATTTTGAGGTAGCAATTAGGACGGTTCTGGCTAATGCTACAGAGGCAATTAAGCCTGAGCAATCGTGTTTAGTAGCTCTGGTCTGGCTGCTCAGTACTTGCTTAGGGATGAGTTTGAGTGCACACTTGCTTGGTTCTCAGAAGAGAGACATGGCAGGAGGGCTTTATGTCACTTTAGTGATTGGTGCAGGAACGCAAAGCCAAGAAAGGATTACTTCCAGATGTAAATACTAAATTTTGCTATCTTTAGTATATGTGCATAAGCTTCCTGAAGACCATAGGGCTACTCTTGTGAACAAGGCCAATGGAACAATACCGTGAGATTGTTATTTAGCATGGAGAAGCCTATCAAAATTCAAAGTACTTCCAGATTTGCAGCAGATCTCCCTGAATTTCCTGGATTTAACCACCTTTGCCAGGGAATAGGAAACCAAAGCAGCATCCCCAGTATGAATACAAATTAATTCCACGCAGAGAGTGTCGCATCAGAGGGAAATGGATTTGTTCTCCTCCATACACAAGGACTAACATCTGTTTCATTATGGAAAGCTGTAGCCCTTGTTACATAACTTCCTGGCATAGCCAGCACATGGCAGTGTTACAGAAAACTCATCGGTGCGTTTTCACTTTAGGCTGTTTTGCTTGCAGATAAAGAACATGTTTTATTTTCAGCCAGAAGAGGATGATCTTGCACCCAAAATTAGAACCAATAGGAATTAGGAAATAATGAGCAAGAACACTGTCAACTGACAAGTATTTGTGGCTTAGGGCACAGGTCAAGTTGGAGTTAATTTATGGGTCTCCTGTGATGACTAGGCTGTGAAAAGGTATCACAAGTATTTTTGTTTCTTGTTAGCCTACAGGGATAACATCCCTCATGACTCTGAGTGGGTAATAGATTTATTCTACCAAACACGAAGATGCACTCAGCATTCTTCACCCAACAAAGCTAGAATAGAAAATATGTATGGGTTGGTGGAGTGGCTATAGCTTTGTCTTGGGAAAAATGTATTAGCTCCTGGTTTTTAATCAACTCGGCTTAACTGTACTTCATTTTCAAGACAGACCCTCAGTAGCTGTCACCAAAGCTTGTAATATGGTTATAGTCCTGTAGAGTCATTATCTTTCTATCATTACTAATATTTTCTTCTAGCTATCTTTTTCATTTTAGTGTTCAGAAGAATTTATATATTTATGGACTTATTTCAGTCACCATAATAGAACATAGCCTCCTCAGTTTGTTTTAAATGTCTTGCTTTCCATTTTTACTGTTATTGTCCGTTTTTTCTTGCAGATATTCGACCAGCCTTCCAATTCAGTTTGACTATCTTGACTTTTCTCCAACAAGTTTCAGATTTCATTGTGTTAACCTTCGTTCTCCCTTGGAATCACTAAGAACTTGTATGAAGGACCCTCCCAAAATAATTGTTCATCAATACCTTATGAGAGTAACTGAACTCAAGGAAAGGCCATTGTCTGTTCTAGGAAGAATGAAAGAACCTTGCACACAGCTCGTACACGAACTTAGCAAATCTCTGCATCTGTTCCTACTGTTTAAACATACATACTATGACCTTTCATGCTTTAGATTGAGCTAGAATACTAAAGTACCAAACTAGTAAATTATTTCATTGTAGCAGACATAGCCTTACATACAATGGTCAGGTATTTATTTTGTAAGACATATTTAAAGACAGAAGTTATGTTATTGTGAAAGCTTAGATAATATTTTAAAAATTAGTAATCCTGTACCTGAAAAAGCATCTATTTGTGGAAATTTTTGGTGTTCCAAGAAATGTGGGTTCACACAAACAACAATTTGAAAATAAACAATTGTAACAGAAAAGTTTATGCTGAAAGCCACATCTCCAAACCATGTCTTTCTATCACCAAGCTAAGTTTGTTCTAATACACGCATTTAGGAAATAAGCAGGAATTTTCAAGACTCCATTTTAGACCTGTTGCTGCTAATCAGGGTGTGTGGAAGGGGAAGAAATCTGAATGACCTTGTTTTCAATTTTAACTGTAGACTTCACTGTCATGTGGAAGTGGAAGCCAAAGCTGAAATGTGAAATCATACTTAGAATTGGCATGCTTTAGGTTTTGTGTTCCTGAAGTAGGCAGTAAGAACTCAATAGACTATGCTTGTATGAGAAGGCAAATCACCTCACACAGACATCATAAAAATGTGGTATGAGATCATCCATTTACTGAAGACAGATATAACCTGTGACATTAGTTGTAGAGAAGGCACCCTGGATAAAAAAGTATCCTTTTTAAAAAATCAAGAATAATATTTTGAAAGGTGTATTAATAGCATCAAAAAAAAAAGTAATTTGCAAATAAAATAATATTTTACTTCTTAATTATCCTCTTTCTTCCACCTTGGGAGTCTGCTCCCTGAGGCACAATTCTGTTTAAGAGTCATGAGAAATAACTTTTTTGAAGGGAACAGAAAGCCTGAAAACAGTTTGCATTGGGATCTCCACAAAATAAATTCCCTCCCTCCCCTTTTTTCATGCTTACCTTCACTGCTTCCCAGCTGGAATTAACCAGGTATTGTCTGAAGGGACCAAAACCTGAGAAGAAAGGAAGGTGCTTTCAACCTATGCTTGCTCTGCAAATGTAGATTAGGTGCAGACATGTATGCACACACATATTTGTGTTTTATCTTCATATTTTTGGTTATGGAGGTTGAGGTTTTAGATAGGATTTAGCCTTTATAACACTTAAGGGAATAGTATTTTCATTTTTTATATGCACTGATATAAGAACTAATTTTGCAGTGTTCATTCATGTCAGGGCTTAATTATCAGACTAACCTTAACTGAAGCTGGTAAATGTACTGGAGCCAATAGGACAGATCATGTAAATGATGATTTTGGGCAAGGATCATGATCCATAGAAATACCATTACTAGAAGATCTGATGTTAAATACTCCCAAGTGACAGTCAATCTACCATTCTTACTGTTAAAGCCCATGAAGAAGAAGATATGCATATTTAATGAAAGTGTTTGAAAGAGTAAAATTTTATTTAATTTGTTTGTTTTTTTTTTTTTTTTTTTGTTTGTTTGTTTGTTTTTTTTTTTAATTCCTAGTAATGAAAATTCAAGTTTTCTGTCAGGGAAAATACGCTTTTTGTGGTGCTGGGCAAAACCTCTTCCTTCACTTTTTCCCCACAGGAAAAGAGAGGAGGAAAGGGAAAAGGACTCTTTGAATCCAAAGTACTACATTTAATTTTATGCATCCTTTCTTGTGAAAGTCTTTTTAAAATAAAAATGAAAATCTCATTTTGAGCTAGATGGGTATTTTGTCATGAAAAAGTTTGATGGAAAACTCCCACTATCTTTATTAACCTCAATTACTGTTCTCAAGCCAGAGTGCTTCCAAGACTTAGATACTGGGTGGCAGGAAAACGAGTTTGTGAAATGTCTTTAATGCTATAACTCTTATATTTAAAAATCCTTAATTGGATAAATAAATACTTGACAGCATATGATTGATATTTTGCACAGTAAAATGTACTTGTATGTAGGGACAATTAAGCCTAAATGCAGGCTTATGACAGCTTACTTAATGCTAGACTTTAAGCATTTCTTAATTTGTTAATACTTATTTCATAACTGCTCAATCTTTTTTCTTTAATATTATGAAAAGCCTGATGGTGCTAATACTTTTGACCATGTTTTCCCCAAGTTTAAGTTGGTACGACGGGGAGGGAACAAGGGAAATGGTACTCATTTCACATTAACAGGGAACATAAAACCTCACGAGTCCCACTTTGCTTTCAAAGCAAAATTAGGGTGACACCTACTCTATTTTGAAGCTATAATTGTTGTGCATGTTTGTGTACTAGTGTGTGCAGAACTGTATAATTATAATAAAGTTATTAAATAGCTCACAATGAAACACATGCATCTCAGTGGTGGCCTTAAGAAACTACTGCTTAGGGTAAAATTGTTCTATGAAAAGAAATGACTAAAGGTAGGAGAGTTTTGCTGTACTGAAATACCTGCAGCAACTTGGAGAGCTAACTGGCTGAATATCATTAAGCACTATATAATAAACTGGGCTCACTGCCAGCAGGTTTATAGTATGATCAGGTGAAAATGTGACAGAGGCATGCTGTGATAATCTCTGTAATAGCTTAAAGATGCGCCTTAAAGATAACAGGACACACTAGTCTAGAACTATTTGAACAAGTAGATTTCTGCACCTAAATAGCTATCTAAAGGGAGGAAAAAACCTAACAGGGTGCTAAAGTGTGTCCATTAATGGTACCTGCCATAAGTATCACAGGAGAGAACCAGATTGTCAGCCTTTAAAGAGGTTAGCAAATACCACTTGCTTTCTCCTGTGCTCCCCTTTCAGCTCGACTGCAGTTGTCTAGAGCAAGCCAAACTAGTTCTGCCTATCTTGCAGCTATTAATTTTTTTTTTTTTTTAAAAAAAAAAAAGTGTTTAATTGAAAACAGCAAGATGCACATCTCTTTGATGTAGCTTCAACCTCATTCGTATGTCCTCAGATGACCTGCAGTGGAAAATTATCCAGCAACTCACATGTCAAGATATGTGTAATGGATTGCCTTTAGATGAGCCGGTGGCAACAAGAGGAATAGCGAGTAACAGCATTCCTTAAGAGCTTTAACCTTTTAAAGCTCAGAAGTCTCTAGATGGTGGTTCTGCCAGTGTGATTCAGCAGTAGTTATAGCCAGCAAGAGAAACTCCAAATTTGGTCCCTTGTGCTGCATGTTCAGGCATGCTCCTTTGGTATATTTAAATTTAATGGTTTAGTTTAGCAGTGATGAGGCAGCATCTCCTGTTTAAATCTCCCTTACTTTGCTATGAAACTGAGACCCTGAAACTTGCCATGTGTTGCTCTAATTCTGGACGCTGACTATGTGACATTGTGATGCAACCTGGTTTTCTTGCTTCAGAGCTCCTTTTGGGTAAGCTTTATCTAATACTAGCCTGCACTGCCTTGAGCTATGTGGTTTGGATCAGAGAGAATGTCAACAAAGATTAAAACATGGAGAGAATGAACAACAAACCAAACTGGATGGCAGTAAAGAGGGCAGGCTGCAGTCTGTTTCCTCTGACATGCATCTGATTTTTCTGAGGAAGGCAGAGCAGCAAGTTATTTTCCATTTGGAATTGTTAGTATGACCATTTGCTACTGTTTTTCCCTCCAGGGAACTGTTTATGACAAAGATCAAGCATGTGTGCATACCATCTCTAGCTAAAAGAAGAATAAAATAAAAATCTTACCAGTTACAACCACAGTGTTGGAATTTGAATCCATGAAATCTATGTTCCAGGTGGTGAAATCTCGTTGTCTTTCAGTTCCAAACAGTCTTGTAATTCATGTATCTGTGGCAAACTTCTTCATCTGGGGCACCTTTTTTTCTTCAAGCTGTGATGTGTCTGGATTCACATGACAGGGATTATTGGTGATTCATGAAACTTTCAAAGCAAAAATTCTTATGTCTCTGTATTAAAGATAGAAGTCTGACTGACCAGCTGACTGACTGGGACGGCCCCAAACTTTTTCTTTCTTCAGCCACTCAATATTTAGGAAGAACAGGAAAGGCTTAAAGAAACTTCTTGCAAAATATCTGGCAATGCTTTTCACCAGAAACCTGTTTATGTACAAGTAAACAGAAAATTAATTTAACTAATTTTATTATTTCTCTGTGGATATTCTATTTTTAGCAGAGTTGTAACACACTTTAACAGTGAGGAATGACAACCACAAAAACATATATGACCATTTCTACTCTTCTTAAGACTTTTTCTAACTGACTTAAAGAACCCAGGGGTAACTTTGCTGTTCCTCTTCATAGCAGTTATCTAATTTACTAATCTTGATCTTTATTTTGTGCTATTTATAAGAATCCAAGTGCCTAACACTTTTAAAACCAAACACCAATAGGAAAATTTGTGCGTTTGCTAAACCAAAACATTTACTCAGTAATATCCTTGAATAGGCAACGTTAAAAAACCTCACTCCAACTCGCAAGGTCAAAGGAGCGCTAGGAGCAGTTATGGCTTGCTGACACTGGTGGGTTTAATAGCTGGTCTGTCTTCATTAAACTGAAGCATGAGAACCAATGGGGGGGCTGAAATCAAAACATATGCACATTGTCACTGCCCAAAACAAAAGCATATGAAAGTTCTCTTGGGAATTATAACTGTGGGCAGAGGGTTTCGCTGGGTCTTGTTTTGAGTAGGAAGTGTATGTGTGTGTGTGTGTGTGTGTGAGAGAGAGGGAGGGAGGGAGGAATATGCTAAGAATAGAAAGCCACTATATAATCTCAAGAGAGCTGGTAATTGGGAGACCTTAAGGAAAAAAAGTCTCTGAAGAAATCTCTTAGATTGGGTGGTGGCTGAATGAGGTTTGGAGCAATGAGCTGTGCCTGTCATTTAAATCCTCCCATGCTGAGATACAAAGAAATTTGTGGATTCTTTTAAATAAAAAGATCTTGATTCCCCCACCCATTTCTTCCCCTGACTAATACAACTTGCGAAACTAACTTTTGCTATCTGCTGAGGCTGAAGGAGCTGCTAATACAGTAGAAAGAACTCTCTGCAGCTTTAAATAAGGCAAAATCTGCCACTGACATCAGTGAATCACATCTATAATTCTACAGTCTTTCATTCTGTTATGTCAATTAAGATTTTTATAAATTATTTTTTTCTGTGTGACCAGTTAGTAAAACTCTTCCTATGATACTGAGCAGGACAATGACATACCAGTTTTCTCATAGTCATTTGTGACTTGTGCTTTTTTTTTTTTTTTTTTTAATAAAATCTCAGTATAGGGTGATCTAATGAACAAAGCATATGCATGGAATAAAGCAAGATTTAAGGTCTATAGCTGCTTAATTAATTTCCTGCATGAGAAATTATGTGTTTTGTTTGGGACGTTATAGCTGCTTTATAGAGATATATGAAGGGTATTGCTTGAATGACATAAAATACTAGGGATTTTATTAGATATTCTTGCAGAGCATAGATACAAATCTATTAGATCCATGCACTCTGCAACAACTGATATTATGTGTTTGGACTGGAGTACTAGTTTTCAAAGTGTTCATAACTGGCAAAAGAGAGTAGAAAAAAATATAGAGCATGGAAGATTATTTCACTAATCCTTTATAAGGAAGCTGATAGAAATTTCTTGGGGAGACACCTTCCCTCAAGACACTTTTTAATGACTCATCAGTTAAGCATTGTCTTCAATGGTTAAGTTAGTCCCTTTCCATAAGCAGAGGTTTGCTGATTTGGTAGTAAAGATTCTGAGACCTTTCCAGTGTTGTTATGCTTGTGCAAGTCTGGGAGGAATGTTAGTGGTTTGAATGAACCAGGAATCTGAAATGCACCTGAAATTCGTCCTTGCACAGATTTAATTGATTTCTGTTTCCATGGTTTATGTGCACGGTAGTACACTTGGAGCAATGATGTATGTATTGCAGCTGTACATGTAACAAACAGGATATGGTAGCTTCAAAAAAGAATAATAAAATCTTCTGGTTAGGCCTATGTTCTACCGAGAATTTTATTCAGGAATGAAACCTTTCTTTCCCCTAATATTTCTTCAGCTGAAGTTGAAACTACTCTTGAAATTTTTGTGGAACTATGACTGTAGTTTTAATATTAGCACTCACGTGTGTATATGTGCCCATAACAATAGATACCCAAGTCACTGGATATGTGAGGTCTGGGCAAATTAATCTCCCCATCTACAATTAAGAAACCAAGCCCTGGATATTGGAAGGCAAGTCACAGACACATCTGACTCAGCTAAACACTGTTTGGTTTTTTTCTTGCTATACACAAATGTGATTGGCACCTCATCTTGAGGTAAAGAAGTGGAAGCAACTCAATTATGAAAGCCCTGTTTATCACCTTAAATATTTTTCTGTACAGTTGTCTGATATATTTTTAAATTATTTGAACCACTGAGTAAGAGAGAAATGTATTTTCTGCAAATGCATTCTGACCACATTGCAGAACTGCCAGAACACTGCTTGAATAGCTTTTTAGTACTGATGGTAACAAGAACTGAATATGGCCCTTCACTTAGAAACAGCTCTTTAATTTTTATCTCTTTTATTATTACTTACATATAGGGTTTTTTATTTCTTGTTATTGGCAGTCACTGACCAATGTTTTAAACTGTTAAGTGGAAGTGTTTAATATATTCTAATTTTTATCTCAGCTGTTCAACGTTTAATCAGAGGAGGGAGAAATCAAGCTGTTATGCTATTTAACATTAAACTATAATGGGACTTTTTAATAGAAATTTCAGGATCTAACACTCTATATTTCTTTTCCATTCTAATAAAAATAAATGATCCTCAGGAAAGACTGAAGCTAGTCTTTAGGTAGATGGAATGCAATGTCACAAAAAGAGAGAAGACAAACATTTCAGTGTAAGGCTCACTGTTCCCTGAGGACCAATGCTGCTTCTATAGCAAACTCCATAGAAATGGTAAATAGAAGAATGTAATGGCAATTTCACTTACTTTTTTTGGATAGAGTTATATATTTTATGTTGTTGCCTTATTCGTATTAGTAGTTCTGCAGTTGATACCCCTGGTGTTTATCCAGTGCTTAGCAATAATGGAAAAAAATGAAATATTTATAATTTAAATGTAGCCAAGCTGTTCGGTGACTGTTATAACTTCAGTTCTGGTCTTCTTGCAGTATTAGCAAAAACTAACTGTTGTGGATGGACAGATTTTAAGATCTTATTTAAGTTTAATGCAGGGAAAAAGTACTTCAGTAGGAGAGCATGCAACTTGGGATCAATGGGTTGCTTTTGTTTGGGCATCATTTACCATGCACAAAATGACTCCTGCAAGCAGGATACACCCAATTTAAATAATTATTTATCAGCTAATATGCCAAATAGATAGCTAGGATTGACAGATTACTAAACTAAACAGTAATATGCTTACCACTCCTCTTAAGAAAACTGATGAGTCTTAGCTGGCCAGGAAGTTTCCAATATGCTGCGAAAGGTCAGTTTCTGTCCATTTGTTGGTATGGGCTGATCCTCAGCATTATTGAGCTTTCTTTGCATTTTCTGCTTTTCTTTCCTTCTGTAGCTTTTGTCTAAGCTTTCGCCAGCTAACTACTGTCATCTCAACAACAGCTCTCCTGTGACTTTAGTTTCTTGTCTTTCTTGGTTTTAGAGCATGTACTTTCTCATAGCTTAACAATTTTCTCAGTAAAACTCAGGCAAGGTCACACAGCAATGTTGCATCAAACTAGGCTTTGGACTATGGCACAGCCAAAGCCCTGGGCTGTGTGACATGGGGAGTGGTGGAAGGTACAAAGCTTCAAGTGATCATGAGAATGTGCTTAAATCCACCGATGTGCTGTAAAGCGCGGTTGTGTGACATCCGCTTTTTGGGAGCATCAGTGTACGGGCTGAGATGGCTCTGTCCTGTTGAAGAAAGAAAATACAAATATACTTTAGTATGTGATTTAAACCATTTGAAAGGAGGAGCAACGTGAAGGGAGGTTTTGGTCTCTGTGCTGACAGGCAATGGAGTACCTAACAACGATGTGAAGCACTCAAACTGCCGTCATGAAACCTTGTCTCCAGGTCACAGGGGTTCCTGGATGACATAAATGCAAAGGTAAGCTTGTTTCTTTGCAAACATACTGTTATTTCCATGTACTTTTTTCTTCACGACTTTGACTTTGATACTTGTATCTATTATTTTAAAAATAATTAAGCAATCCTACACTTGGGGTAGGAAGGCTCCCAGGAGTCAACACCTGGATTCTACTTTCTAATTTTGACAACTGTGTGTTCATTTTAATCTCTGTGCCTCAATTTTACGGTTTGTAATAATGAACAGCAGGCTCCCCGCCTGGGTTTCCGAAAAGACTCTTTTCACACCGACAATCCTCACTGCAGCGCAAAGCTGAAGAACGCTATAAAAATATTTTTGTACTTATTTTCCTTTGTAAACCTTCTGCCTCGGCCACCTGAACTTAAAGAAACGGGCGTTAGCCCTGTGGTTTGTCATTCTGTGCCGTTTAAGTGAAGAATTGGGAACTGGTGTTGGCAGTGTTGTGAGGACGCCGTCCCTGGCCGGCGCTTGCCGAAGGCCGGGCCTCGATGGCGGCGGAGGCGGGCTGCCCCTTCAGCCCACAGCCGCCGCGCCGGGAGCTGCCTGCGGCTCCCCCCCGCCTGTCCGGCACCCCGCGCTCCCTACAGAAACTTTTCCAGACTGTTTACCGACACCTCCCCCGTCCTTTTGTTTCCCCAGCCGCCCCACGACCGCCCTCCCCGCCTCCCGACGGCGGCTTTTCCTGTCAGCCAAGCCCCGGCCCCCCGCCCTTCGCGCCCGCCCGGGACCGGCCCGCACCGCCACCCTGTCCCGGGCCGGGGCGGGCCGCGGCGGTGGGAGCCCGCCTCGGAGGAAGTGATGGAGGCCGAGGGAGGAGGAAGAGCCGCCGCTGGTAAGAGGGGAGGGAGAGCGCTCGGGTGCTCCCCCGCGGCCTGCCCTCCTCCCCCCGCCGCCGCCGTCCCCTGCCCCGTCTCTCCCCTCACTGCGGCCGCTCGGCTCGCTTCGCCTCCCTCCTGCTCTTGCCGGGCCAGCTGCCCACCCGCAGCGGCTGGACGCCGGTGCCTGGCAGACGCACCGCCCGCCCGGGCTGTCCGGGGTCTCCGCCGGCGCCATCCCGCCCCTCCTGTGAGGAGCCGGCGGCGCGTCCCTCCGCCGCGCCGAAATGGCGGGCTCCCCGCGGCCCCGCCGCCGGGCGTGTCAGAGCGGCCTAAAACGCCGCAAAACTCTCGGGCTTTTCCAGGAAAACTTTGCTCAGTCGCCTGCGGTCGTGACCGGGTGAATCTCGGCTCTTCCCCAGCGCCCTGCTTCCCCAGGATCGCTTGAAGGGGGGGATGGTCCGGTCCTGCACAAAGCGGGGGTCAACCAGAGCAGGCTGCTACAGGGTGCTTTGCCCTTTTCCCAAGCGTACAGGTAACTTTTCCAGGTTTTCGGCTAGTCCAGGCTCTGCCCTGAAGCAGAGAGGAACTGGCCTGGTGATTTCTGTCAGCTTTGGTTCAGCAGGTGATGCCGGTGAAAGGCTCATCTCCAGACCCCTGTTTCCAGGGTGTGTTTAGGTCTCACAGCACAGCTGTATGAGTTTGGGACTTTAATGGCTAAGTCCTTGAGAACTGCTCAGGAGCAGAGGGAATACTGTGAAAAAATACCTTTACAGTTTTAAGGACAAATCTCGGGCAGCATCAGCAAGTGTTTACCCAAACTGAGCAAAACCATGGTTTAACAAAAGAGGCATGGTTTAACTGGGACAAAGGGGGCAGTAAACAGTCGCTTCTTGGCCACAGAAGAATAATTAGATTATTTTGGTGTAGAGATGAGATACGAAAGGCTTTTTATGCTGCAGAGTGCTTACCCCAATCGTTAAAAAGTATTCAGTAAAAACCCTCTTTGCTGATCCATGGTAGAACAAGAAATACATGGTCTCTAATGGTGAATTTTTTGGGAAAAAAGAGACTCACCCCTCATCTCCTTTCAGCAGAAGTTAAATTACTGGTGTTTCTGACAGTAGGCAAAGAGTGATTTGCCCATCAGAGGCCAACAGAACTCTGCCCTTTAGTACATGGTGGACTTAGGCTGCTTTGAAATGAACAGACATGTTAGTTCCCAAATGTCAGTGGTCCTAGTGCTTGGTAAGGGAGCTGATTTTAGGACAGGTGGATCTTCTGCACATGCTCCACTGTGGATTTCCAAGGGAGTCTGGCGTGTGCAGTGTTCCTGGTTTATATTTGACTAGGATCACTTCCAAGAATCTCTGTTCACGCACTTGTTTGGATAAGGGCCCATTGAATCACCTCAGTTAGCTTTTGCACTGCTTTCCCTCCTGCTCTGTTTTTATACTCTTCTTCCTTAATTTGTCACGCTAGCAGGTAAATGGAGAGAAAGTGAATTTATCTTCTGAAACACATTTTAAGTTCCTGCCATTTATCTAAAGCACCTACTTCATCCCCTTCAGTAAAATAATGATGTTGTTCATTAGTTCCTCTAGCTGCTCATGGCTAAATGTGCCGTAGTCAGATTGCTCTATTTTCTCCCTTCTATCAGCCACTTATGAAAGTCAAACATTTGTAATAATGCTATTGGGTTTTTTTTTTTGGAAGACTCTCAATTCTGGTGATGTTTTAAATAAAATATCTCTAGATGAATGGGACTTGGTTTTTCATGTCCAAGCAAACATTGTACTGTTGGGCACTTCAGTTAATGTGTATTTTTTTCCCCTGACTTTTTCATTACTCTCAAATTGCATGTTTAGAATGGTTCTTCTATCCCCTTCCTCTTCTGAGACAGCTGCTATTGTTTTTAGGTATCGTCCAAGTTCCAGCTTAGTTAGTTATTTGGATATACCTATGTTTACAATAATTATGGAACAATTGACAAGAGGTTAAGTATACAGCACACTTTAAGAGCATATTGGAATCAACCATTAGCACTTGCTGTGCAAATGGTGCTTTTCAGTTTATGTCACGCTGTAACTGAGATGCTACAACTAGGTCTTCAGGTCTGTTCCTGTAACTGTTTTTCACAGGGCAAAATATCTTATGCTTCCATGTTTCTAATCTCCTTAGGTGCTAGGCAAACCGTACAATTGAGAAGCAGGCCAGCTGTTGACCTAGAACTTGAGGTTCTTGTTTTAAATTCAGCCTTGTCATTTTAAAACACTTTGTCAGATTTATATGTGTTAACCATCTAACAGCAAGGCTAGGAAGGACAGTCTAGTGAATCACTGAGTGTATATGACTGGAGCCTGAGAGATAGTTACTGGATGTCTATCTAGTAGTACCTATCTGTCTAGTTTAACGGTTGCATTAATGAAGCCTTGAATTTCCATCAGTCTCTCTAGGAAGATTGAAATCTGCCTGCCCTCCAGGAAATCCATGTTAATCGGTTTACAGGCTGGTGGTCGGCAGCCTGGAAGGTAGAACCACAGCATTCAGGTAGTGTATAGGTGCTGTATATCATTAGTGTGGCCCCCACATCTAGAAAAGCTACTCAGAACTCTAAGATGAAGCTGATCAACAAATATACACCTTCAGTATAACCAAAATCGCACGTGTGGAATAGGTAGAATTTTACACTGGGGTGTGTGTGTATCTAAGAAGTAAGGACTGTCATAACCTCCTTGCTTTCCATGCCACGGGTAAGGTAAGTTATTGAAACCTTGCTTTCTTTAACATAAATATGTAGTTATGGTCTAGTAGGAAAGAAAACAGGAAACAAAGTCCTAATTACTTTCCTCAAAACAAAAATACAGTCCAAAACCCAGCAAACAAACCTGAGTCCCTTTCCATAACAACATTGCAGTGAATACACTCCTTCCCTTGGGGGAAAGTATGAGAAAACAAACAACACAAGAGAAAGTCTAGCTGGTTTAAATTTGCAAGTGGGAGGTGTGCAGACATTATGGTTGTGAGTATGTTTTAAGAACCTACGTAGAACAGGCTGGTATGTATTTTCCACATTGTATAATGGTTGCGTACTGAGAGACTCTGAAACACTTCGCGTGGCAATTCACAGTTCTGGTGTGTTGTCTTTGCAAAATGATTGGCAGACCCTCAGGTCGCACATATCTGAAGTAAACTGTGTCCTGCTCAGTTACTGAGTGGTCTGTGGATGCTTAAAAATGGTGTGTTTGTAACCTTTGCAACTGCTGTCTGGTCTTTATAGTATTACTGACAACAGATGGCAAATGGCTCCACTGATGTAATTCTTGCTAGTGTTTCATTCCTGTGAAGTTGCACAGTTTCAAAATCTCACAAAGTGCCTTCATATTTTTTCTGCATAATGATTTCAAGTCAAACTAAATAAAAACATTTTATATTATTCAAATTCCTATGGTGTCATGTGACATTTTTGTAATGATTGCCTTGCAGCAGTTTCAGATAAGTGCACGTTTGGTAGCAATTTAAGGCCTGTGTCCTTTAAGTAATGCTTATTAGTACGTAACAGATGCCGTTTAGAAACATTATGCCTTTTAATAGGCTCTGCTTTTAGACTACATGTTCTCATTCCAGGCAGACTGTGGATCAGGCAAGCTCGGAGGTATGCTGTCGTTTATGCAAAGCCTAAGTCAATTTTCTGCTCTGAAGTCAAGCCATGTGTTTTTCCTTGTTTCTTCCATTCTGGTCATAGCTGCCTTGCTGTGTTTTTCCCCCTAGTCATATCTTTGGCTGATTGTCAAGCCATTACAATCAAAACCTTTTGCATTTTTAACCACCAGCAGTGGTTTCTTTTGTCCTTACAGAAGAGCCTGTGTAAACTGAATTTGAACACTCTCGGCCTTACTGTCAAAAGCACAGCAAGCACAGAGTTAGCCCTCTGTTGCCAGCCTGTCCTTCCTTCTCTGCTTCTTCCTCCTCCCAAGAGGAGAAAAAAGGAAAAGTAGAGCCATGCTGACTTTGGAGAGCCTTCAAAGACATGTAGAATAGCTGACACAATGGCACAGAGAAACAAGAGAGATGTTTACATATTTCCTCCACTACTTGCAGCTGTTTATTACAGCAAGTTCTGAGGCAGGCTAGGTGGCTTGTGATAGCTAGTGCAGGTGACGTATTAATTTGTAGACACATAATAAATTTAGCAACGTGGAAATGACTGGGGGAAGGGATTTTTTTGTTTCTTTCCTTCCCCCCCCCCCCCCCCCCCCCCCCGAATTAATTGCTTTATTTTGAGATTATTCTGGTTGTACAAATTGCTCTTTGCACCTACTTTGGAGAAAGTTTGCTGGGTTTTCTTAGGCAGACTTATGCACTCTACTGGTGGGAGCAGTAGATTTGTTGGATGTAAAGCATTTGCAACTCAAGTTATGTGGTATCTGAAACTGATATCCCTGAAAATCTAGACAGTTGTCTCGTATTTTCATTGCTACTTCCTTTGTTTGGGGAACATTGTCCTTTCTGATAGCAAACCAGGGCTTTCAAGTACTCTTGGTATGCCACACATTGTGCCATAGTTTGTGTGACATGAAGCTAAGGGCTGTGTGTTGTGTGGCCTTAGGTTTCCCACACCTGCTTTGAATGATGGTAGTAATAAGGAAATGTATTTAATGTGGTACTCAGATACTAGCTCTGGTGCCAGGTTGTGACAGTGGGTGTTCCAGTAATACATTTAAATGCTCCTTTGTCTTAAAACATGGCTATTTTCTGAAACTGTCCTAACTGTCAGTCTGGCTGGCTTCTCCTCACAGAATGAAATCATCTTCATGCTAGACCATTTGCCAAACTTAGGTGTCATTTCCTGCCGTTTCACTATTCCTTGTTTATCACTATGGGAGATATCGTCTTCCTTTTCTCCCTTAAGTTATAGGATGACTTCTGACCAATGCATCCGCCTTTCTGTCTTCCATCTTTGTGAAGGATTGAATTACCACTCTCCACATTTGAACTTGTGATTCATAAAAGCTCTACTGCTGTTCACAGAATCTTTTCTGTTGTTCTCCCTTTCAAATTAGCCTCTTTGAATAATGGAAATACTTCAGTGATGTATTTCAGTGTCATTCAGGGCCTCCCATTTCTTCTTTCCTTAGATTTTAAGAGTCAGACTCTAATTTGAGGTCAGGCCTGGACTACGAACTTCTGTTGGCATAGCTATTTTGGCTATGGGTATGATGAAGTGAGATGTAGTGCTGACATAGCTGCCGGAAAAGGCCCCTGATACGGACAGAGTTGTTCTGGAAAGCTTGCATATTTTATTTTGTTTGGGGGATAGACAAATAATGAAGTTGACAAATTTAGATTTTTTTTTTCA